GGGGGGGGGGTTCCTCACGCCGATGGACCAGGCCAATTGTAAGGCAAAGATGCTTAGTCGGGGATGCAGCCTCAATCGCACACCGCACCAACCTGCTGGGCATCGAAGAAATCGCAGTTTCGCGCTCGAACCTTCAGATGAAAGCCTCAGGAATCTGGAAGGGACCAACGTGGCAGCCTCTGCTATTATCCCCATGGATTCAAGCAAAACCGAAAACAACTGCTGTTGTCATTTCCATCACTTCCAGGGATGTGGACTCCGTCATTAGAGGCCAACAATGATGGAGTCCCTCTGGATGTCCCTCCATTTAGGCTGTGAGGCATAAATGCGAGGACCGGGAGCAGAGATTTCTACAGCTATATATACTAACGAACAGGTGCTCTACCATTTATAGCGCCGACTTCATGGACAATACTTTCCAACTCAGTACCTCACACAACGTTTCAGCTTGCCCCTCCTCAATCTTGCCATCACCATGGCCCAGTTCCGGTCACTTGCCTCCCGGCATCGTTTGAAGCTGGGAAAGTGCTCTCAGCTAATTGGAACATGCAACAATGACGAAGAGAGTCTCAGTTTGCCCCAAGATGGTGCCTGCGCAGGTCCTGCATTTCCAAAGAATTCAGAAATCGACCATTCAAAAGCTCCGTTTGCCAGTCATGCCTCAGAACCAGGTTCAAGTTCCCAAGTTGGAAGGGTTTGAGACGGGTGCACAACCTGACTTTTGCCCAGGATCAGACAGAAAGACCCTCGTTCCAAAACCTTCCTCCGATAAGGAGTCGCCAACTGGGGTACCTCCACACAGGATCTCCAGTGCCATTGACTCTTCAAACAACTTTACCGACCTTTCGGGTCAGCTAAACGATATTCACTCGAACAGAAGCATAACACCGCCGACGAGGAATTTCGTTTCAACGTTGGGGGGAAGAAAGAGAAAAGGCCCAAAAAAAAAAAGAGATCAATACTTTTGGACATTGAGAGGCCAAAACAAGCAAGGAACCGAGGCCAAAGAAGAGCTCAAAGAAGACATAACAACTATGGGCAATTACCGACATTCTAGAATTAAGAAAATACATGGCGAGGATGATGCAATGCAGACCATTATGGACCTCAGCAGCTATATCGAAGCTCAATATTAAGATTGATTAGGCCACGGCTTGAACAAGATCAAACAAATCCGAGACGAGACTCATGATTGGCAAGAAGCTTCGAAATTGCTTCAAGATGGAAGAGCAACAGCTTGAAGGGTGCGGGAAGATCATCAAACCAAAAGAATCTCACTCGAGCAATGTCAAATGGGAGCTCGCAATGGTCGCGGGGGCAGGCTGAAAATCGACCCGGCCGATTTGGAATTCGACGTTCATATGCTGAACGAAATGAGCGTGCTCATATTGGAATTACCAAAGACATCGAGACAAGAGACTTCCAGAACGTTGTGGTCCTTCTGGCAACTTTACACCGTCGACTTATCACATATCAGCCAGTTCCTTATAATACCAAGCGATAATCCGGACTCATCCTCGGTCGATTCCAGAAGGATTGGTCTGACGACGTCGAGTACTATGTATACAATGGACATCACGATCCTCCAGACTTCGTTTTATGAGAGAGGAGTCAAGAAACAACAGAAAGTGTTGGAGCGGCATCGCAAGCTAAGAGCGGAGGAAACACCGCGTGAGATTGGGAGACTGACAATACGAGAAGAACGGAGTAGGAACATTCGTACAGGGAAAACCACGCTTTTGGTGCAGAACCGGTGGCTGGGAACGCAACTTGCTGAGCCCGTCTATCACAACTTCTTCCCCACCTAGACTTGTATAGGTTTTTCAAGCTCCAAAAAAAAAAAAAAAAAAAGCATGCGGCCGGAACTCGACCTATAGTTAAACGGACATTTTACTATTCTGCGCCAACCGACTTGTAGGGCAGCGTTCATGACCCGAAGCCCCCAGAAATGTATTCTCCCGGCTTCTCTCTTGAATCTGCGATGGCTCAAAGCCCATTTCAGAACAGCGCCCGAAATGCGGCCTGAAGAGGCAATCGTCGAGTGAAAACCTCTCCTTTTACTGACGATCTATGCATTGATACCTAATACGCCCCAGCACTACGGTGGCGTGTTCCCATTAGAGGCATGTGATTTGATCTCAATCATTGTCTAGAGCGCTTCGAATGTTCCGCTCTCGCATCAAGCGAAGGGTTGGAAGGAGGCTGGCCCCCGATGATGCGTTCAAACCATCCGATGGAAGGTATGTTTCGCGAGCCATTCCATTTGTCAGGGATTGCCTGCAAGAAATTCGGGTTGGGTGGCCGGAGACACATCTTTTCACGTAAAAGCACGAAAACTCACGGTCCTGGGAGCCTGGGACTAAGTAGACCATCGAACACGGTTCGGGAAGTGATGCAATGTACGTTCTCTGCGTCTCATGGCTTCATTCAGAACAAGGCGAGTAGATCCTCAAGCGGTGGCCCCAAAGGGTCCAACGAATCCTACAGCCCAAACAATCTTTTTCAGATCATGCTGCTTGGTATCGGATCTTGTGTCCAACACCACGGCTGGGTTACTGTACCGAGTATGGTGACAAATTTCTATCCACTGACTTTCGGCTCGAACCCATGATCATGATCGGAAAAAGGGCTCGAAATCCATGAATTGATTAGTGGGATTCTCTCCTGAATCTGAAACCGAAGCGACACTTCTCGCGATTTGATTTATGATAGTAAGACTTGGGACACTTGAAGCGACGCCGAAGATCATTTTGAAACGTTAAGCGATCGAGGATCATTTCTTTGGATCTCAAAATCTGAAATCTTGAATCAAAAGCTCTTTGATCGATCGGGATCCAGACCTCTACCAGGATTCATCACAAGTTCGGATGCTAACAAAGCATCGAGCCCGAGTCCACCGCCTTCCATCACCGGCGCTATGAAACATGGGGATTAATGGTTTTGCAAAGCAGAGGTTCTATCCGATGACGTTGGGAGGTGTGACCGCATTCTGAACCTGGAGGTCCGTCGAACAATTCACCTGTATGAGAGAAGCACTGGATATGAGGAAGTACGACGCCGTCACAACTTGGTTTCGATCTTCGGATCCTGAGCCGTGAAGGAGTGAGGCGACGCCATCTTCATGGCTGACCGCCTCACTCACCCGTCCAACTTTCACCTCCCAAGACGATCTGTTCGATTGTCGATAGCCTCCCCGTTTCAGGCGCCAAAGTAGATCAAGGAAAAAGTGACCGCCCTACAAACGTTCCACGAGAGGGATGATGCTGCCGCCGCTGCTGCATTTCAACGCAATTGTCCCAAGGGGAAACTTCAATGATGACCCCCAAGCATCTCATTGTGGACGTGGGCCATGGCGTACGTCTATTCCTCGCTTATCTCGAGATTCCCTTGGATGCTGGTTGGCTGACATCCTGGTGATGAAATCTTTCTTTGGCTGCGCTTGTGGTCAATCTTCCTCTATAGACAGTCCAAGTCTGGCAAGACCCAACCTTTGATGAGCTCTTGAATTTGTGGCGATGCTCTTTCCTGGTCCCGCCTGGCGTACGTCAAGCGTGTGCCTTGTTCCTTCTCAAGCGCGGTGCTCTTCAATTAACTGATTCACGTCTTCTGCTCTGACCGCTTCCAAAAGTGCCTGAATAGGGGGCGTCTTCTCTTCGAATCGGATCATCTGAATGTTCTGTTAGTAAACACAATCAAATTTTCTCTCAGGGCTTTTTCGCTGACACATCTCCGATCGATAGAGATTCGGCGGAATCAGAACGTAGTCGTTCCTAAGCCACCCTTGAAAGAGTGGACACAACCACCAACGAGACTCTCTCCGAGGGAACTGGGCAAGAAGTAGGCAATTCTGAGGATAAAAGCAAAGTGCGTGACTCGTCACCACCGTCAATCCCAGCCATTGACCAAAATCTTCCAGACATGAAGTGTACAACGGTCAGACCGTTCCAAAAACAAAGAAAAGTCATGAATCCAGCGTGAGGGTGTCGCGCTCAGTTACCAGGCTTTCGAAGCCTTCATGAACGAGACTCGACCGGGTACGAAGGACTTCATGACCTGATGAGAACATACTCTCTCGATTCCTCCATTGCTTTCCTCCTTACCACCAAAGCTCTGATTCAGACAGGACCGAGGCCTGTGACGGACATGATCTCGGAAGACGTCAAAATTTTGAGTTAAAACGTCTTTTACAGGTGAACCTGGAACCTGCCTCATTTATCATCCAGGGAAAACACATCATTGATTCGGTCTTCCGCAATCCTCAAAGCCCCCTTTCGTTGCAGACGGAGCTGTGTATCATTAGTGACGTCCAAGCCCTTGAAGGTCACCGCCTTCTTTTCTTCCAACCCATACTTTCGTTCCTCTTTATCGATGTCCACAAATTCGAAAAAACTAAATTTTACCAAGAAGGTGGAGCAACGGCGACAAACAAAACCGATCAATCACCGCCATAGCCGGATCCTGGCCGGTCCGTGAAAAGTTCGGAATTGTTTCTTTCGGCAATCTCCTCAATCCACTTATTTGGTTGGATTAACTTGTTGGACACGAGTGACGCCTCCATGGCCGTCCCCAGGGGTTTTCCACGACACGTTATAGATGAGCTCGGCGAGTGGGAAAAAGAAGGCACCCATAACCTTGGAAAGCCCATAGCTTCATTCAAATGGAAACATGGTCCGGTATCCTCAGCCATCGGAACACCTTTGCCTTTCTAAGACCTACATGGCATCGATTTTCACGGAGATCAAGGAACATTGTCCATTTCGTTCCGACAGTGACAGAGAACACGGGGATGAGCAGGACGATCAGTCTCGAAGCCAAGAGAGGATACGGTGCCTTTTCTTTCTTTCGCTTTTTCACAGATGGCGTATGATAAGGCGGAAGACCGGATAAGAACGAGGAGCCTTGCAGGGGGTGCAGATGGCTGTGCTTGTGTTCTTTTGCAATTCGTTAGCAGCCACGACGAGGCTGTTGGTACTTGGCGTGGAATAGGGGCTGATCTCATCAGACCATGTCTTCACGGGATGGAACGGTCCTCGCACAGCTACCCCCTCCACCTGCAGACGTTTTGCTCTAGAAAAATTCAATACGGGCAGGACAAACAGAGAACTATCGTCTTCTTCGGAGCCTCATTGCTGTTTTGCCAATTACCGGGAGAAGAAAATTTGAAATTGAATGTCACATAGAGCGCAGATACGTATAGAAATGTTTCCAAAAGGGGCAAGCTAGCCTCGCCCTGAGGGGGGCAGAGAACAATCATATGGTATAATAAGGTATGATACTGATACGAATATATTGTATGGTATTACAGCAATCATCTTTGAAATTCTCATTAGCTTGCCAGTGCTCGATCATGAGTGACTTTCAAGTACATACACAAAGAGGCGTGTCCGCTCAGATCAAGGAAAACTGGCATCAGAGAACAGGTGTAATGGGCGAACCTGATCACGTCACCTTGCCCCCCGCCACGGATCTATCCTGGTTTGTCGTTTTTTTTTTTTTTTTTAACAAACTACGCGAGGGAAAAAAAATAAAAATAAACGAACATTTCTGCCCCAACCCTTCGAAAGGGAATCACTCGGTCCGATAGTCATGTCATCGCATCGTTGATCGCTGATCTTTTCTTTCTTTCGGTTTCGTTTCTTTTTATTTGGGGAGTTCGGAGGCCTTTGACTCTCGAACTCAAGGAAAAGCGGGATCCATATTTCGGTTTTAGGCTTTTGACCTCAAATGAATTCCCCCCTCTCATCATCGTGCACGCGGAGCTGTCCACGCGGATCTTGGTCGTTAGTGGTGTAATATCCTTGTCCATGCTCGTATCCATGTTCATATCCATGCGGAACACCGACAGCGCCCACCGCACTGGGTCCCACGAGACCATCCTCGCGGTGATCTGCTCCCTCAGTATCATCCATATCCACATCCACGTCCCCTCCAACACCAAAGTACTGCTCATGCAAATTGGGGTCTTGCACCTGTCCGGTCCCCGGCCCAACGTCATCGCGCTGGAAACTGCTTCTTAGCGGCGTATTTTGCTCCGAATTCTCCCCTCCAGTGTGATGACTCCATCTGCCCTGCGCGATGCCTGGACTTGGATGCTTTCCACCATGTCCGGCGTGCAAGAGCGTCGGGCTGATAGCGTGCATTTCGCGCGGCGGCTCTGCTTGGCCCCATGCCTCTGCTTTCCAAGACGCTTCTGCTTTCGCGGACATCGGGCTGTACATGCTATCGGCGTGAGCGTCGTGGACGCGCGACATGCGACCTGTCTGCGCCATCTTTTGTCGGCGCCGTCGTGTGAAGACGAAGCAGCCCCAGCATGTGCCGCCAATCAGTAAAATGCCGCCGACGATGGGTAGGGCGATCGCAATCCCTAATTGCCAGCCGTGCAGGCCGCCACCGGAGGAGGTGCTGTTGGAAGGGGGAGCAGGGCCGGCGATCAGTGTCTCGTTGAAAATGGCGGCGGCGTCTGGAAAGAATGGTTCTCCTGGCTGGGGCGGGTCGCGGCAGGAGATGTGTAGGGCTTGTAAGACTATGAAGGAGTGCGCTATGGCGTCAGTCGAATGAGGCGGGGGAAAATGCAGGGTTGGGATTTGGGATCCTCACAGTTTGCCAGGTATAATTGTTGCGGGATGAAACTGTAGCAGAACGCGCACTTGTTGATGGTGTCATCGTCAAAGGGTGCCTCTGTGCAGTAATCATTTCCAGGCTCGGCATCCGATGAGTCGGTCGTAACTTGATATCCGATCGACTCGTTCAGCAGAGCGCAGCTGACTTGACAAGGACTGCTGATGGAAATGTGTGGTTCAGGAATGGCGAACATGCACCCTGCCAGTGTGAAGCGGAGGGCCACTTGACTGTAATCAGCACCTGTTTCCTCGCAGATGTGGTCTTGCATACACAATCCCCATTCTACATCTGTCTCATTCTTGCCTGTGTCTACGGCCGTACTGTTCAATTGACACCCCACACATTTTTGAAAAGCTCGACCTTTACTGAGAGACTGGTAGTCAGCGTCGAGGCAGACGATGTCGTCTTCGAGATTACCGGCGTCCGAGCAGACGGACTCGCAGGGCGATCCGGAGACAGATGAAAGGGCAGAGGTCGGGCGGAGGAGGACAGTCAGCAGGCAAATGACAATGTAGACAGCCGCGGTCGCAGGACGGTCATGCCAGTAGGCCATGACATTGACGGTGAGCTCAGCGACATATGAAACAACACAGCGCGCAGGAAGGGCAGACTGCGAAGTGGTGAGGTTGGAGGGATTGATGCGTTTCTATCTCGTCCAATTTAAGGCGCGCCAGATGGCCAGAAATCGGAGGGTGAGGGGGACATTGAGAGACAATTCTCCGTCCATCCCACCCACGAAAATTCCTAGCGGCATCGGCCACTGCCAGAAGAGAAGAAGAGGGCTGTTTCCATGTTCCGTGGCTTGCATGTTGACGGGCGGCTAGTAGAGCTGATCGCCCAGTCAGCACCGGTGGACGAGGTTGGCCTGAGGAGGAGTGATTGGTGAAGAGACACCCATGAAGTGTGATAAATGGTCGATACTCGACGTGACTGGTGGAACATGTCTGGCTTCTAGTGAGCGCTAGGCTGGCGTGACCCGCCGGATTAAAAAGCTCTGGAATAAAACTTGCTGTCAACCACCGTTCGGGCTGGGGTCCCTCGGCTTTTCACAGAGGCTTTTATCCTCTCGCCTTTCAGCATTGTTGTGATGGCCATCAAAATCTGCTGTGGTGGTTAAGGGGGGTGATATCCCTTTAACTAAACGAGACAAAAGCTTGTTGATTTCGCCATTGCTTGAGCGTCTCGTCTGCAACCGAATCTGCTCCATCTTGCTTCGTTTCTGTGACTGGCGTTTAGTTGTCTCTGCTCGAGCCGCCGACGTTGATGATCCAGTGCTTCGGGTATGCATTGATCCGTTGTGATATGTTAACAACTCCTGAAGCATCGTCAATATCACGGAGACCTGGCGACGGATAATAGATATACATTATGGTATAGTACAAATGCTTGCTCCTGGGACTATTTCCTTGTTGAGACCGGACATCCTAGCTACACCGAGGTTCTGCTTCGCTTTTTGCACCGACTTGGTTATATATACAGTTCTAAAGATGATCTCAGTGGGTTGGTGAAAATTTGGCGATGCAAGCGGCGCCTTGTGCTAACCTCATCGTCGGTGAAGTGTTTCTATTTCTGGTCTGATCATTTGAGCAGGTGCGGGTTGAAGGAATATATATATTTGGCAGGGCTTGTTGCTCACTCTAGGCGGTCAGGAAGCCGGAATGATCAACGTCACCCGAAACAGTCCCCTTCCATTGTCTAGCCATATTGGCTCGGGCCTGACAATTTTGGATCTCGGATTGTTCGGCTTCCTCAGGCAAAAGCTCGGTGAGGATGTGTGTGATCCATCGCGAAGCCCTTCGGATGGAGAGACGGCCAGGCATTTCAGTCTCGCGACAATCCAAGACCGTTCATTTTCCTTGGTGCAGCTCTTCAACTCTCTTCTCAAATGCTGAAATCATAGTGCTCGCAACCTTTTCTTCCACCTGGGCAAACATTTGATCGTGGAGTAGGTTTCGGAATTTGACGGTGATGTTCAACTGGACAGATGTTTTGTCCTCTCCAGGGTCTTTGGACGGCGCGATGTGCCATTTCGTGTTCAAGACTTCGAAAAGCCCGTTACTGTTTTCCTCACTACTCCGTGCTTCAACAATTCCATGTTTGGGATCGCACTGGACAATACTGTCCCAATCCTCCTCCAATCCGAACTTTGCATATCCCACTTTTAGCTTGGCGCGAGTTGGATACCCTGCTGAATCTCTTGAGGAGACATTCGATGATATCGTAAATGGGAGAAATGTGGGATAGCCAGAGACATCGGACACGGTTTTGAAAATTACCACGGATGAATATGGTAGCAGCTTGGTATGCGAGAGCGAGCGTAGTGGGCAAGGTCCTAGGGCTGAGCTGAGTAAAGAGTCGAGAAACGTCCTGGTCTGGTTTATTTGCTTTGCATTGACAAAGACCGACGAGGAACCGTTGCTGAATAAAAGCCGATTCGGACAACTAAGGAGAGCAGTTGAGCGGTGGGTCATCATTTCTCAACGGACTAGCTCCTTCCCCCCGAAAGAATAGAACTTTGTCTATGAGATATCAGTTGTTGACGGGCATCATTGTGACATCAAATGAACGTGTTTGGAGCGATTGAAGATTGAGAGAGCAACATGAAAGTTTTCATGAGCTCGGAGGAGAGCATGCCCGAGTCATTTCCATTTTATATTGCCAAGACTCTGACTCGCGTCTCACCCGACCGAATCTCAACCACCGTTTTTCTACGTCAAATCGACCGCGTTGGCCCGTTCACGGTTTTTGCTGTGGACCTGTGTTTCTCTCGCATCAGGATGCATGACTAAAGTATTCGTTCCGTCCCTTCGAAAAAGGTCGCAGAAATGGACACGTCGACCACGAACGCCGCGAACGTGACGAACATAGCCCTGGTCGCCAAACAACCTCCTCCTGAAAAGGCTGAAGCTATCAGCCTGAGAACGAAGATCATCCTATCTTTCTGGGCTGTAATAGTGGTCCTAGGTCTTCCAACATGGTGGCAGACCACTACAATCTATCGAGCCAATTTGCCGCTTCAGGAAATGCTCAATTGGGCCGAGGGAGTGGTCCGTCGACGATAACTTTTGGAATCTGCTCGCGGGCTGACTTGATGGGATAGAATACTCCTACAGCGATCCCGTTGCACGTCTGGATATCAGCCCCGAATTATTCCTGCTCCGATGCGCAGGCAATAGTGCGAGATACCCAGCAAGCCCTCGACGATCTTAATGAATACCCAACACTGCACCAACGACTACATCTGGTGAAGGGACTGTCCGGTGCAAGAGACGATGGACAGAACGAAGGGGGGGCAAGCACAAGCTGTGGTGAAGATCCTTTCAGTGTTGGTCTGGGAGATCCAGCATTAAAAGTGTCCCTCGAGCCAACCACCGAAAGCTTTACATTCAACTTGGACGAGGTGTCTGCCACGGTCGTTGTCCGCATCCCGCCTGGTCCGTCGATCGGTGCCTCGAAGCATCTCGCGGGGGCACTCCATGAGATATTCAGGGACGAGCAAATTGCATCAGCTCTACAAGCTGTGTCTCTAGCCAGTCACAGCCAAAATGCACAAGCCTTTCTGAGATCACAACCATATGATCTTGTCACCGGGATTGAGAGGCAGATCAATCGCGCCTACAAGTCTTCCCCTCAATTCCACCTGACCTTCTCCCTTTTCACCGCGAGTGGCGCCCCATCCAGCTGGGATGTTCAAGAGGCTTTAGAGGATCACATCCAACCTCTTGTACAAGCTCTATCAAATACCGCCAAATTCGAAGTGACTACCCAGATCCAGTTGTATTCGAGCTTTTCTCCATCGATTCGACCGGCGACGCGAGAGGGACAGGATGCGACTTTTCTGGAGCAAAAGGATCTGACAGCATTTGTGAATGCGGCAGAGTGGCCATTGGCGCCATCCATTGGAGATGGGCCTACCCTCAACTTCATCGTCTACGTTCCAACCCAACATCAAATACCACTGTTGATCGAGGGCATTGACGGAACATCCTGGCTGATCCCTCAATGGGGCGGTATTCAGATCCTCAATCCACCTTTATATCCACACCCGAGTACCGGTGCCATGACCATTCCCGCACATCTCGGTAAAGACTTGTTGCGACAACCATTTGAAACGTTTTCATCACAACTATTATCATTGCTGGGTGTTCGATCTGACGGCTCAACACAAACCTTGCCACTCCAACTTCGCTTGGATGCCTTCCAGCGTTTGTCCGCGCTCACTCTCTATCTCAAGGCGGCATCAAGTTTAGGTTCTTTGTCTAGACTGGCACAACGTCTGAGCAACATCCCTATCCCAAGAAATGTTGCCCAATTGGTTGATGATACAATAGGAAACCTTACCGCTTCTCGTCATGCTTTTCTTGAGAGTAGATGGGATTCGGCCCTCGCTCACGCCAAAGTTGCTTTCATGGACAGCGAAAAGGCTTTCTTTGACAAATCCATGGTCGGCCAGGTCTATTTCCCGGACGAACACAAAGTGGCTGTCTACCTGCCTCTGCTGGGTCCCATTGGAGTTCCGTTGCTTGTGGGTCTTTTGAAAGAAATTAAACGAATCGCTTCCACCAAGCAGGCAGCCACGAGCTAGGAGATTAGGAATGGCCTTTGAATGTTGACTCCGATAATCCGGTTACCCATTACCACGGTTGATCCACAAAAGTTTGTATCTCAATGCGGGGTGGGAGCCTGTTGAAGATGATGCAACTTGGGTCATGCTATTATGATTCCGCTGCCCGTTGAAGACTCATCCTGCATAACCAAAGACTGTGAAGGTCGTGGTCACAATTATGAGAGTGGTATGAATGAGGCTCTCTCTTTTCGGCCTGAAATATGCCGCCGGCACCTCATAGTGCCTTCAAAAGGAACATTGAAATCAATTCGAGACGTGTACCTATGGAGACCTGGAGCCTCTGCCCGGCTCCTTTGCTTTTGGGTCACACGTCTCAGTCTGAATGTCAACTCTCAGGCCCGTGATGGTACGATTATCATGAGGACCTAGTCACTGCCGCTCTAAGCTACATCAATGACAAGAACGGAGTCACTCTGATGACAGGCTGGATCAATTTTATCAAACTTCACCTCATCCGAACACCTTGCAATTCAATGTTTCATCCACAACGTATATTTTCATTATATCCCAAACCATCAATATTCCTCAAGCTCCGACATTTTGTGCTCTAGTCATGATTTAAAGGTAATCCACTCCTGCGTCCAAATCAACCCCCCACTCCCACTCCCGGTATAATCCTCACTGACAAGACCTGTCCCCCTGATCTTCGCGCCCTGCCCCTCCTTATCGGCCGTACAATACCTCAGCAACACCATCCTCTCATCTAGGAAGAACGTGATGTCCACCCACTTGGGGTTCAACTCTTCCGCGACCGCCCCACAACCCACCACGGCATGTTCCTCAACACTCGACATCTTCTCCGCAATCGTATATACGCCCAGCGTATCCCAGACACGAGACTTTATCTCGCTCTCCTCTAGAAGCGAAGTCACCTGGTGCCGAACCTTGGTGGAACGACATTGCGCCGCACCGAGGTACAGCGGCGGTCCGATTCCGCTGTCTACACTGAGGGAATGTTCTTCGTACGCAAAGAAGGATGACTGGTTGAAAATACTCTCGCTCAACACCAGAAGCCGGGCAAAATGGGCGTTGAGCGCTTCTTTTCTCTCGGCGTATGTCCGGCACGACTTATGACAGTCACATGTCTCGGGGGGATCGCACAGGGGGACAATCACCTCACCCGTCTCAGGGGAATGGAAGGCCATCTGTGTCAGAAGCAAAAGATACGACGCCTCACGGTATGCCTTTAACAGATGTGCTAGACGGCGATCTCCACGGTTGCGCAGACTATCTTCGCTTTTCGAGTACTCGGCATAGGCCATCGACCATTGCAGTAAGCGGGAAATGTGCGTGTGGTGCCGGGAAAACCCCGATCCGGCGAGTAGGCCTTGTTCAAGAAGGGTCCAGGTGTGCCAGATCCATTTTGCTTCCGTAAATAAGACGTCACGGGCCTGTGAAAGAGACGAAAAGGCCTGCGGGATCACATAAGGATTCGGATCGGGAAGAGAAGGAGGAGAATCGCGCGAAAATGGGTCGAGTGAAAGATCCAGTACCGATTCTTCTGGGTCGCTGAGGATTTTGGCCAGGCCACCAAACATTCGAACAGATTCTATCTCGAGCTTTAAGAAGAGTTTTCGCAAGGTTTCGTAATTGATGTCCACGGTTCGATATTGCGTGTCTCTGTATGTCGTGCGGGATTTTCGACTCAGGAGCAATTTGAGTCCAGATGTCATGTGCATCTGTGCCAGGTCATAATTGCCCTGGAATGTCTCGAAGATGCTGAACAGTTTCATTACCACCATATTGATCTCGGCCGCATTGGGATGATCTGAAGCTATGTCATTCGCCAGCCGTCGGAGTGCCTTTTGATATAGTTTGTCCGAGAGGTCGCAGTATTCGAACGCTTCGCGTGAGATGCCTAGTTCGAATCTTCGGTGGACAGCGCCGACCGCCGCGGCGGCGGCGAGGACGGTAGGATGTTGAAAACATGCTCGGACAATATAGGAGCGCCAGACGGAGCTGTCGAAATATGCGGCGAACTCGGGTCCGGTGCGTAGTCGGAAGAAGTCGAAGCAGAAGAAATCATTGTCGGTGTCGAAGAGGACATGAGAAGGAGGGCGGATGAGTTGGGTGTATTCTTCATCGTCTAGGGATTTGCCCTTCGTCGGTGTGATGGGAGGGATGGCAACTTTGCCGCTTGTGTTGGTCTTTTGACGTTTGGTTCTAGGTTCGTCTATGCTGGGAGATGAACCTTCTGATGTCAATGTTTGTGGTGGAGATGGACTGGCATAGCCGTCACATTTACGACCTGTGCTTGTACATCGTCGGCAAAAGGGTTTTTCTTCATCGCATTTCTTTCTCCGGATCCTATTTCATGTTCAGTGAACTGTTTCCTTGAGTCCCTGAGGTTTATTGACGTACTTGCAGGTCAGACATCCGGTTCTGACTTTATTGTGAGTCTTTCGCGTTCTCTTCGGCTTCTCTATCAAGGACCGTTCTTCGATCAACATCGTTGCTGTCAAATCCGAATATGAGGCAAAAGTAGATTTTCAGTCCAAGCGTAATTGCTGCAAATCAAGCCCCCGGGGGGGGATGCCATATGTATAAGTCCTCGGTACCTGATCAACGCTGTATGATGTCGTATATGATTCCGGATACGAATTGGTTTCAATGGTCTCTCATGAGCAACCTCTTTTCGCTGATTGGTCAGGGCGTATTTTCAAGACGTCGATTCCATTCCTAGTTTGGATGCTGACAAGTCTTTGGTGGCACCTCTCTAGGCAGCAACAGGGGACTTTGAGCGATCAGATTCGACGGCGGGATAAGCTCCGAGCCTAAGCGACCACTGCTGATCCATCCCATGGTTAAATGTTCAAGTTTGGAAAAAAGCAGCGTGTTGATCTGAAGAAGCGGATAGGTCAGTTTAAGAGCAATTGCAAGGCCCATGTTCTGGACGAGATAGTGTCGGCAATTTTAATACTCGACTAATTCTCTTTGCTCGAAATTGAGGTACCTCCTCGGAGAGGTCATGGCCAGGTTGTATGCTCTGAGCATAAGGTGACACGAGGGGCTCGTCGGATGTGGGCTGAGGGGGTGACAAACAGGGGCGACGTCCGGCCTCATCACGGCTTCATCTCATCCCGATTCTTACCCAGAAATGCTGTGAACCTCAAATTTCCTACGTAAACAGAGATTGAAAACCGGAAGAAGCTGACTGATAACCATTTCCCCCCCGCATATAACTACAATCCAGAACCTCCACGATCTCACAACTGCCTCAAAATGGCACCGACACCAGCTAACAACATCGCCTACACTGCGCTCATCAACCCGCCCTCGGCCACTCCCGCGATCACCATTGAACAAATCTGGAAAGGGCTCGAGAAGAAAATCACCGCTGGCCAGGATTTTGTCGGCGGCGCCCTCATCTCCACCGACGTCATCTCCACCTCCACCGACGAACAAGGTCGTCCCGTCACAGTCCGCGAGGTCGTCTTTCGCGATGGAAACCGACGTGTTCGCGAGACGTGTATCGCGTTCGAACCCATGAAAGTCGAGTTTCATCAAGAAGACGGGAGCAAGGTGCAGAATGTCATCAGCCATGGCAGCGAGGGCGAATTGTTCATGACATATACCTTTGAGTGGTTACACCCTGAGTGTGCGGGCGACGTGGCGGCTTTGGAAGCCAAAAAGGAGAAGGAGTGGAAGATTGCGAAGATGGCTGTGGACAAGACGATACAGGTAATGCGAGAGATGGTTGTAGATGGGAGAATAAAATAAAAGGATAGGTAAGGACAAGTGATGAGGGTGCTAGGGCTGGGTTGGATGGTTAATGAAGTCATCAAACTTCTCACGGTCAGGAATGCGACGCAACTGGCAATACCATCTTTGAGAGTGTTAAAAATCCGATTGATAGGCCATGCAAACTCTGCTATGGCAGGCTTCTAGCTCTCCTCTCCCTCCCTCTTTTCGAATTTCCCCATGTTGTGATCATGGTATTTCAGCCGTTTAGAAATGTCCATTCCTTTGACATCTGAGACCTTGGTCTCTTCTAGCGCTCCAGGAGCTTCTCGTGCTCTGGGCTGTCTTCATGGTATTGTCGAATTGCCTGTCCATCTCTGCAAGAGCAGAGTTGTGGTAGATTGTAAGAACGTATCGGCAATATCGTTGACCACAGAGAACAACAAAGACACCACAAACAACGGAGTCAACAGAGACCACGGATCTGACTCTTGCTCGTTTCCAGTGTATCCAGGGTGTACCGAGGACGTGTGAGGTTCAATATTTTGACCTCCTCCGCGCGTTTGTTGTATGGACAGATAACGCCGATACTCAGCTTCATACATTGCTCAGCGGCGCGACAAATACCGGCGCGGCCTGGAAATACATTAGTCAATACCGAGATATATCAAAGGGACCTGACAAACCTAACTACTTTTATATACCGAGATGGGTCTGATGGATCGAAATGTTGCTTCATCCGGATCTATGACCATGCTTGCGTCGGCATTCACCCTTCCCCAAAATTCATCATAAGTGCAATCACTACGAGCTCGGACATGTCGGTGAGCCCAGGTTTGCCGGCCATGGTGAGAAGACATAGCTCTCAGTCCCAAGCATCTCCCCAGTCATCTTCGTTCATGTCTGGTTCTTTGGGCTTCGGCACTTCTTTCTTGACTTCTTTCTTTGCAGTTGTGGTGGACGTTCTTGCACCAGCAATTGTTGGCTTCTTGACATTATCACTGGTGCCGGTTCCAGCAGATACACTTCTTGCCGGGCCTGCTGGTCTGATGTTCAAAGTGCTTCCAGTAGTATTGGTCTTGCTTAAGCCCTTGGGTAGTTGTTTTTGGCTCTTTGCCTTGGACTGGGCGGCTAGCCAACCGGCAAAATCAGGTTCACCAATGTCATCAAAAGGAGTCGCAGAGGATGCAGTGTTGTTAGTTGGTTGACTAGATGAAGCGTCGAAAAAATTGTCTCCATCATCATCCATTGTTCCCCACGCATCTAAATTGTCTTCTTCGAGGGCATCTTCCGGCTGTGAGGTCGAACTCCTTACCGTGTTTGAAGTGGCCGGTCTTGATAATCCAATGGGTGATTTCTCAGGAACCACGTTGATTGTGGGGGTTGCGCGGCCCGAGGCAGGTAGTGATTGCGTTTGTAGTGATGTAGATCCGTTAGCGACAGTCGACGGAGCCATTTCACCTTTTGCTCCAGCCATTTTGTTTGTGAAAGAGGAAATTGCCCAACCTGCCCAACTTGTATCGCTTTGGTTTCCTATTCTTGCTGGTACGGCGGCATTGGTAGCTCCCGGTGCAGATTCGGGTGGAAGAACGGTATCAGGCATGGCTGAAGCATATTTCCGCACTCTCTGCAAATAGACATCGACTGCTTTGTTGGCCTGATCCCGGACCAGTTTCTCTTTGTCGACCAGACTGATGCAGATGGCAGGCAAGATCTTTGTGGCACAGTCTTCATCGCTGAAGACGTCAATCGTCGCGTTGAGAGCCATTAGCGCGGCATTTCGAGCGTGCACAAAAGGATCTCTGAGTGATCGGGAGAATGCTGCGATCAATACCTTGGCCCGGGAACCAACACCAAGGTTCCTGGCGATCTTTCCAAGACAGATGGTCGTATTTGTGCGAATTCCAGGTTGTTCATCATTGGCTGTTTTGGCGAGAAATCGTAGGAGTTCACCATTGATGACTCGGTCGGACAGTTTGGGAATGATCGAAAGAACAGCTTTGACGGTTTGTTCTCTCACAACCGGAGCCGTATCAGTGAAGCCGGTGGTCATGGCCGGCCAAATCTTGCCGTTGATATCTTTTGGCGGTATTCGATCTACCATCAGCGGCAGATTGTCGAGTAAACATACCCTCAGGGCTCGGTCGGGGCTGGCAAAAAGACGGAGAATAACAGGTCCCAGTCGAGATTCGAATTCATCGTCGGACATCTTCAATCCTATTTTCATGATGGCTCCGAAGACACTGGGCCCCCCTCCACCAAATTCGACAGATTTGAGTAGTTCAGGTAAAATTTTCATTTTGAAGAAATCTTCGGGAAAGTCGTCCGTAAGGCTGTCGAGCTCTCTGTTCAAATTAGCTAGATATCCTTTCGAAGAAGGGAAGGAAGAAAGGGGGAGGAGAACAGCTTCACCCTAGAAATTCGTTCCTCTCCTGCTCATTCTTCAAACCCAGACTTTCGGCTCCTTCGGTAATGTGAATAAGGGGAGTCTCGAAAAATCCTCCCGTTTTTTTGCCTTGATCGACAAAATGACTTGGGCTCAGCCTCAAATTCGGGTTGGCATTGACTAATCTTCGGTAGCTCTGAACCATGTTTGCGGGTATACTGCCAGGCTGTGTTAACTGGTTGCTGCTCACAAAGCCCCCATTAAATGCTTCAAACACAAGTGTCCCCAAACCATACGCGTCCGGCGCGCCCAAAGGATTCTTTTTGATGGAAGACCAGCCACCGTTGACGACTTCCGGAGGTGCATATCGATTGGAATCTGGTAGCAGACTTTCATAAGTGTAGATTATGGCATCATCTTCATTCATCGAACTTAGGACTTCGAATCCTCCGAGCTTCCATTCTCCACTCTCACTTGTAAATATTGATGAGACACGGACAGCACCGTGTACGGAGGAGGCATCATGGTTGATGAATTTCAATGTCGAGGAAACACTGTAGAGACCCCATTTGACGGTCTCTTCACTTAGGCTCTTGCGCTTGATGTGCCAACTCAAAGGAATGACTTTTTCGGTGATGATGTAGATGTTCGTCTCGTTCTCAATCACGTCGATTACTCGAATCACGCCGGGATGGCGAAGTGTTCGCAATTTCCGCGCCGCATTTTTGGCCAAGGGTAATCGCGACTTGTTTGAGTTGATGTCGAAGTTGAACAGGCAACACGCTGTATTGTCGTCCTGTACACGGGATAGTTAGCGGCAGGACAACCTGGCAGGACACTCTTGTTGGTACCTTCTTCACGCCATTGTGCAGAGACCAGATGGAGTCTCCAATATCAATTCTGTCTCCGATGGTCACTGGAAAGGAGCTGGATTTGGCGATAGCAGAAGCGACGGCTGACTTGAGAAAGTCCATGAACGTTCATCTGCGGTCGGGAAGAAACGCGATCCAAATCTGTGACTGCGGTGGTTGAGATAGAACAAAATCGTCGGAGTTCCTACATCTGGTAGAAGGCTGTGGTCAAAACAATTGCTGTAGAAATGCGGGCCAACTGCGGGCCGTTATAAAATGTCCCCCCCCCCCAACATTCTTCCCCACGTTCGCTCCACCAGCAAAAGTGACATCCCACTTGGACAAATCTACCTTGTCAAATATAAATCCTCTTGTTGTATGAATTATCTCAAGATCCGGCACAATGACGGACCTGGCAAGTAGAAGAAGGACTTTCTCCTCGACAAATATGCCCAAGGACGTAGTATACAGGCCGCATGAGGGCAAGTTTGGGATCATTACCGGGGGTTCACGAGGTATGAGTCGGCTTGAAGCTCTCCCAATGCTTCCAGCAGTCTTATTGACACTTCACAGGCATTGGAGCCGCTGTGGCGCGAAACCTCGCCGCCAAAGGATGCTCCCTGCTGCTTGTCTACACCTCCGACTCGTCGACGGAACCTACCAGGGCTCTCTGCAGTGAACTTGCCGAAGAGCATGGAGCACTCTGCGTTCCTGTACAGGCCGACCTGGCTGATCCGACTCGAAGTATTCCCCATATTCTCACCACGGCAAGGAACCATTTCTCGCATCCTCGGACTGGAGTGTTCCAGGTGGACATCATCATCAATAACGCCGGCATTGGGGGCAATAAAGTGTTGAACGATCCGGACCTGGGTCCGATTGAAGAAACCCAATTTCACAGACAATATAATGTCAATGTCCTGGCGCCATTGTTGCTTGTGCAAGCATGTCAGCCTTACCTCCCCAAGGATCGATCGGGTCGAATTGTTAATGTATCGAGCGTATCTTCATCCATCGGCTGCGAATCACAATCAATATATGCGGGAACCAAGGCGGCACTGGAGGCCATGACTCGAGTATGGGCAAGAGAATTGGCGGAGAATTGTACCGTCAATGCCATCAATCCGGGACCGGTGTGGGGAGATATGTACAGTGAAGCCGGAGAGACTTTTTGGAAGGTGAACCAGAAATACGTGGATAGCGCTCCTTTGATGACTTATACGGGCGATGACGCGACGAGAGCCCGTGCGGGAGGTGATCCAAACGAATATGATCAGACGGTGATGAAACGTATGGGCGGAAAGAGACCGGCTTTTACGGATGAGATTGCTGGTGTGGTTGGCATGCTCTGCTCTGAGGAGAGTGGGTGGACGACAGGGAGTGTAATTTGCGCCAATGGTGGCATGAAGATGTCGATAGCATGAGATTGATCAAATGTAGCAGGAATCAAAGTATGGTGGCGGTGTATCGCAGAGAGCACGTTGGTCAAAGACAAGGAGGAGGACGAGGCTACCCGCAGTTTTGCTATTGGCTTGTCCATGAACAATCCGTGTTCTCAATTTCAATCACCGAACAAGTACTATTCAAGGCTGTAACAGACGCCCAACCACTCCTTTCAACGCTCGTTCTGTCCGTCCCATCCTATTTCATTTCTTCGCCGCGCAGAGATATTCCACGATGGTCGACATAATTCCGGTTTCCTCATACCCATCCCACATATCACTCCTCCCGTCCATCCAACAATGCAACCTAACCAACCTGCCCGAGAATTACTTCTTGAAATATTACATGTACCACGCCTTGACATGGCCACAACTATCCTACGTCGCCGTCGTTCGAGGACCCGGCAGCAAACCTTCAGCATATCCCAAGGTGGTCGGATATGTGCTGGCAAAAATGGAAGAAGATCCTACGGATGGAGTACAGCACGGACATATCACAAGTCTATCGGTAATGCGAACACATCGAAGATTAGGGATTGCAGAGAAAATGATGAGGATGAGTCAACGAGCCATGGCTGAGGTGTTTAATGCCCACTATGTGAGTCTGCATGTCCGAATGTCTAACGTGGCTGCGTTGCATTTATATCGAGACACGTTGGGATTTGAGGTCGAGAAGGTCGAGAGCAAATACTATGCCGACGGGGAGGATGCTTACGCGATGAGAATGGATTTGAAGAACCTGCAACTTAGGATTCCGGACGAGGAGGATGCTCAAGATGAAGGTGATGGAGTTGGCTCGCTAGGGAAGAAAGGTGAGGATGGCGTCACTGTCAATGGTGAGGATGGAAAGAAGGAAAAGATGGTGAAGGTCAAGGTTGGTCGTGGTTTGGGAGTGGGAGATTTGGTGGAAAGGAACGAGGGATCAACGAATGCACAGTACTGATGGAGGGCCACGTCGAATGTCACTGAGCTTTAACGGTGGAACTGCATATCGGCATGACCTCGAAGTTCGCTGGCACGATTTCCTCTCAAACAAAGCAACCTGGATCATGCTTTCCACGTTCATGCTCATCAGACACTGTCACGTGCCTTGTGCCACCTCATGGAAGAAAAGAATAACCCATCAATGCACGTTAATTGCTCTCATCACTCATCACTATCATTCATGTCCCTGATCCCTAGTTCCCGTTGACAGCCACCTTATATGAGGGCGGCTCATCTTGGTACTGTTTTCCTCTGCGGCGCTCTTCCTCCCGGTTCTGGAGATGTTGCTCGTACTCGCGGGCAGCAACGTCATTTTCAGGCTCGCTGTCGCTGTACTCGTCCACTTCCTCTGCTCTGCGCTGAACATCTCCGTCATTTTCACGAAGGCCCTTGACGAATTTCTCTCCTTCGACACGCCTTTCTTCCGCTTTCTTCTCTTGGTGTTCCTTGACCATGCTGATGATGCCGCCGATCAACATGGTGACGGGCCCGCCACGGCGTCCTCGACCTCCGCAGCCTTGTCGGCGGCCACAGCGGCATCTGTGACGACCGCAGCCTGAGCAATAGGGGCCCATGCCGTAAGCATAGCCGTATTGTTGGCCTTGGACTTGACCCATTTGTGGGTTCGTCATGGGCCCGTACAAGACCGGGCTGGGTCCGTAGCAATTGCGACGATGGCGACACATTTTGAAGTGTTTGCTCTGAATGTTTTGACTTGCTTGAATAGTGCTTTCTAGCGAGGGTTATGTGACTGAATTGTATTCGATGATTGAGGTTCTTGATGGTTTGACGGAGAACACCTACCTTGGAAATCGAGAGACAAAGACGTATATATACATATTCAGGTTGAAATGCTATGGAAGAAGTGTTGAAAATTGGCCCGCAGGCACCAGGAATTCACAGCCACAGACATCGTGTAAATGGCCGAAAGTGGGGAAAATGCGCGAAGGGCTGCCAGGGCGTGACCCCTAGCGTGCTACGCCCGAATCAATCACCTGGAGAGGGACACAGCCAATGAGTCCATCTCGAATATCGATGCCTAACGTAGTATCGATCGCGACACAGGAGCTTGCAGAAGAAAGACGCTACTACACAAGGACTCAGCCTCATAAGTTAGCATTACGAGGGATCTTGGATCAAATTGATGAATTTCATCATCATACGAACAAAATCGTCCAGTCATCTGTGTATCTCGTTGGTATCACGCTTCATCGCTGCAAATACATAATGCGATGATACAGTCGAGGTGTTCGGTACCTGGTATCAGTACCGGGAGCCCATACTTGGTGCTCGTCCTGGGAACTTCCCGCCAACCTCACACCTTCATTCTTATATATCTCGTATGTCTTAAATCCGGCTGTACCTAAACGTCTTAACGCACCTAATCTACTGATATACACCTGGTGGTCATTGAAAGATGTACCAATGACCAGCCACGTACCAAGTGTGTTGCTCTCTTTATCGACGGCTTTTGTGTCTAGGCAATGGGATTCAGAACCTCATGAATCCAATCCAATACCCTGTGTGTTCTTCTCTCGCGCTTGTTGTTTGTTCAACCACCCTCCTTGCGTTGTGTATCTTCATATATCAGGCGCTTTATGCGACATTCAGGACGTATGAGCGGCCGGAGATGCTGACCATTGCAGTGTGCACCAATTCAAGATTCGATCACGTCGGCTCGGCCAGGTTTAAAGGATCATATATGGAGTACACGGTACGCTGAGGCAGTAACTAAAGGCGCGAGAAACAAAAGAACGCCGTTATGCTACCCCTATCATGCATTGCAAGGCCCGCATTGTCTTGCCAACTTGAATCCAAAAGAGGCAGCTCCATTGAAAATGACCAGCAGATGCTCCGCTCCATTTCGCTCCTATTCCATTCTCTCGCCATTCAGTGTCCACGTCATATGCAAGCTATTTTGTTTTCAATCAAGTACTCCGTCCATGCAGAGTGCGGCCGTTTTCGCCGATCTCACATTGATATCCATTCGACTGCAATTGCGCAAGTTTCAAGTTCGTCATAAATTCATGATTCAACATTCATTTTCAACTCGATTCATCTCTTCCTCGGACTTCCCGTCCCTTCACTAACAACATCGTCAAACTCATCTTCCTCCTCAATGAGCGCGGGCGTTCGTCTTTCATTCCTCCGTTTCGGTCTCCTCCGCCGGGCACTTGAGATATTACTCGCCGAGTCGTCGGGTTCGATTTCGCCTAACCCGTCCCATTCGCCCATCTCATCATCGATCTCTGCCTCCCATCTGCCACCACCTTCATTGACCGGTGGAATACCACTTGCTGGCGTTCCCGTACGCACTTCGATACCGCCTCCCATTGTGCCTCGTCGTCGTTGCGCTGCGGCAGCAAGACCGGCAGAACGCTCGCGAAGGGCCCGTCTCACGGTTTCTGCTTTGTTGTGTAGTGCCTCGAAGGCGTCCTCGAGCGCTTCCATGCCAGCATAGATATCGCGTTCTATTTCAGCGAGGGTCGCAATTTCAGTCTCTTCATCGAAGGCGATTGGTGCACCATATTGTGCATTACCGTTGGGGTACGGGTGGGCGTAACTTCCCTGACGGAAACGGTAGCCGTTGACATTTCCATTGGCATTGGGAATTGTGTTGGCTCCACCATATCCTTGTGCCCCTCTTGTTGGTGGTCGATACGGAGTTGAACCTCTTGATGGACCCATGTCGGGCATAGGCATGGGGATGTCTTCGGCACCACTTCGCAAAAATCCGTCGAAACGACCTGATATCAAAATGTCCCATTCGTCGCTTGATATTGCGGCAACGGTGGCGAGCGCGTTGTGCAATGTGGGATTGTTCAACAGAAACAATGCCGCCTCGGAATCCCGAGGAGCCATGCCTAATCGGTATAGACGCTGGATGGCTTGTGAGGCCATGTTGATGTGGTCGGGCCGTGCTCTTGGTGCGGGCGTCGGGGTCGGTGCTGGGGGGCGAGCTCCTCTATTCTGACTTTGCCGTTCTGGCGTTGGAGTTCTTCTGGGAGGTTCAATCGGTCGGTCTACAATCCCTAGCAAATCTTTGAATATCGGTCTTTGGTCAGTGGGGAGATGTGTGAGAATGGCGAATGTGAGTGTCTCTTCGTCCACTTCTTCAGGTGGTGAACTAGGGTTGTCACTTTGCCTATTCAGCCACGTATCAACACTTTGTTTCGTCTTGCGTGATTGTCGAATGTAGTGTTCCCGGTATTCCTCAGGGACGTCAATGTCAAGCTTTTGCATCGGTACATGTAATTCGAGCGAGATACCAAGTCCAACTGGAGATTGGGTAAAAGTGAACGGAGGCCAGGCTGGGAGATCTTTTCGTCCAGAAACCAGTTCCAGAACTTCACCCCAACTTACCCCTCTCACATCTTCCAAATGGTCGTATTCACACATAGGACACTGGCAGGCTTCAGAAGAGATGTCACGCGCAAACACAGCCTCGAGGCGGTCCAGTAACCGTCGTGCGACGGAGCGATAGCCCGTTGCGACGGCCAAAGAACCGTTTTTCGACATAACCTTCTCATAGTCACCGAGAAGTGCGGTGTATGGTTCAAAGAGATTGGCAACGACAATGGGTGGTTGGCCAGGAGATTGTGCTTGTTGGATTGCCATTGGTTTGCCGGCGAGTAATAGATTCTTTGGGATTGTCTGGTTCAATCCACCGTGCTGGAGGAGGTAATCAACTTTAGGGACGGTAACAGGGACCGGTGGAGGTGGCGGTGGTGGAGGTCCAGGAGTTGTAGTGACTCCTCCTGGCGTGCCAGATATTGAAGACGCTTCTTCCTCAAGAAATACCTCCTTCGGGGTGACTCCTCGTGAGTGCGGAGGCATGATCACCGAAGCATGGTGATATTGAACGTCGGGAATGGAGGCTGCCGGAGCGACTTTGGATCCTGCTCGTTGGATCGTCGGTTGCTCAGGAGCTATTGAGGTGGCGTCGGAACTGACATTCGTGCCCGACTCAGTTGCGCTCGTGGTAGTAGCTGGAGACTCAGTTCTGGTAGGTTGACTGACGGATCTCTGTGGGAGGGTCGTGTGGACGGGTGCCATAGTCTTAACAGGTGTATCTGTTGCATCTCGAGGTTTTCCCTTCTGAGAGCCGTTCGTCCCCAGTTCCGAATTACTGCGTAGGTGCCCATTTGATCTCGATGATTGTGGCCGTAATCTTGCCTTAATCTTCGACTCTATGCCATTGTGTGTATTCTTCTCTTCTTCCGGGATTGGTTCGACGGAGACAGGCTTGCCTGCGTTCGGCTTCCATTTCCCGGACCCGGCGTTTTGATCGGTGAGAGGAGGACTGGGAGGGGTATTATTCACGCCTGTGCTGGGTTTTGACGCCGCTAATTTATCTTTGGACGCGTTTAAATCGGTGGTGGGAGGTGTAAAGACGTTCAAAATTGGTCGGGCTGTCGCCCCTACAGCCTCGCGACTGTGTTCTTTGGAGAAAGAAGGGTATGGCAAACTGGATCTGGGCTCAGATTTGGTTGGGACATCGTCAACTTTTCCAGGCATGGAGGATCGTCTCTTATTATCCACGGGTGAAAGAGATGTTCTGGACGAAGTCTTTTCCTTGGTCGAGGCTTTGCGATGTGATCGGTGTCTGTCCCTTTCTCGGTCTCTTTCTCGATCTCTATCTTTCCTATCTCTTTCCGACCTTGAAGACTCCTTTTTCTCCCGCCGCCGCTCGACACTATTGTCTCGAACTTTTGAAGGCATGATGGACAGCAGGTTGCATGATGCGACCTTCGATGAATGTTGTCAAGGCGCTTAGATCGCGGGTATCATTTGTGCTCTAGCGGATACTGTGGGGGAGTGGCAAGGTACAAGGGCGCTTAAGTGGATGGCAAGAGGGCCATGTCACCCAGGTTAAAGACAATTCAAGGATGCTGATGGGCGGAAGAGGTGAGGGAGTAACGGTCATTCACATTTGTGTGGTGAGAAAGATTGTCGAGTGTCAGGTGTCGTGTCACGTTGGTACTTGATGGAAGGATCGATGCGGTGGACTCGTATGATGTCGTTTGGTGTTGACCTTGGTGGCTCGAGGCACAGTCTTGAAATCCCAGTGGACAACTTGAAAGCGGGCGGCAGGGGGGATATCTACAACCAAAGGCAGGTAAGGTCGGCCATTGGCTGACGAGACGAGGATTTGGTTGTCTAGATTCAACACCTGGGTATGAAATTCTTCCAATCTTTTAGTTCTCCCATGCGTACGGCATAAGCGAACCACAAACTCGCCCTCGCTAAAGATTGTTACCATTGAGGCCTATCCATTATACCGATCCCCCGGCGCGGTACTCGCATCTCCACTACCTAGAGCCACGGTCTACGTACATTCTTAAATACAAAGAGCTGCTTGTCATGCTTAACCCCTCCCTTCGACAGACTTGACTTCGTCTCATGTCGAGCCGCGTCCATAGTCCTCATCATCCCGTCCTCGCCGCTCGGATCGCTCCAATCTACAGATTCATAGCCAATGATGCGCTGCCAAACAATGTTGCAGATCCGACAGCTCCCGTCTTCATGGGTATCGCAGTTCCTTCGCCACTGTGGTTGAGGATACTATGACACCCAGTGCAGATTCGGTGGACAAACGTGTTGGATGGAGTCGAAACACCAGAGGTGAAAGGGACATCGCTGGCAGAGCTAACCCCTGCTGAATGCCGGAGAGTCTGTCTCTTGTGACGGACTTGTTGTCGCCATTGCATTGTTGGGATTGAGGACGCGATCAATGGGCGCGATCAACACCGTTGGCCACGAGAACGTCTGACACAACAGCTCTGGTGCTGTTTACAAAGACGTCGTTGTCTTCAATGGAGATGGTAACATTGACACCTTGGGTCGTCATTAGTGAAGCGACGTTCTCCAAAGCAGTGCTGTAACCGCCAACACCTTCAACGACGTGGTATTGCAGGATCGATTTCAGATCGGGCAGGGCAGACCCGATGGCACTGAAAGCGGCATTATTGGGGACAAGAACTGTCACACCGGACATGTAGTCGAAAGTCTCTACCGAGCTGGCATTGGTAAGGCAACCGGTGGCAAGTGGTGAGATTCATTTGAATCGCAGTTTCTGAAATGTTCAGTGGATGGATCAAGACGTCATCGAAGATATGGACAACTCCACCATTGAAGTTGTGAGGCTTCCCAGGAACACCGGTATTAGTTAGCTAGCCGGAAACGAACGAAACAATATCATCGTCGGAGTGAGCTCGCAAGAAGCGCGATGGTTTGCAAGGACGCCAGAGCGGTAACGGCCAGAGATTTGAACAGCATTTTCGCTGATGGTAACCGGGGAAAAGAATTTGACCAGCGGGAAAAGGAAGTTGAACGACTTGAAATAAATGCGGAAGAGCTTGAAGGAGTATTTGAAGCTGGAGCGGCTGTTGTGAAGGAAAGGTCCTGTCTTGGGTCTCGAAGTAGAATCCTTTCTTCCACATTCTTCTGACACAGACCAAGTTCAGGGGGGGATGTTGAGGATCAACAGACGTCGAGGCTGAAGCTGCCAACTCCTTGACTGATGGAAGATCATGAGCGAAGATCGATCGAGCTAATGAATCATTGGATAATATCAATTACTCATCGTAAGCTTGAGATCCTCCTTTGAAATCAATGACGAATAATTCTATCGATGAAAATAAATGGCAAGACGCAGAAAGTGGCGTTAAAAGGGTTGGAACAAAGAACTCCAAATTTGGATCAGGCTGAACCGAAAAGGGGGTTGTGAAAGTTTGATTGTGCCCAATTATTAGTCTTTTCTTTAGTTTTCTCTCCCCGCCTTTTGACGAGCCTCTGGAGGCTGGATAGCTTGATCAACGGGAGCAAAAATCAACAAGATATTGTGAGAAATAACTCGATGAAGGAGGCTGCCCATAGCTTTCAGAGGTCTCCGTCGACGGTAGTAGTGATGGACAGGAAATATTGACGATATCATGACTTCTTATGCTCCTGCTGGGCGAATTGATGTTGGGTATCCACTCTCTTGACCTTTGGCCTGTTCATCTTGCATCATCCAAGAGCGACGTCGTCTTTCATCCGTGCCACATTACTTCACCAATCTGCAACGACAATTTTTTCCTTTTGGCAGGGAAATCGGGAAGACAGTGAGCTGAGGATCTGAACAAATGATTCAAAAGACGCGGCAATTCTGTGAACGGTCTGACCCTGTCAAGGTTCTGATTTTGTCTGGCCTGGCCATGGACCTAGACCTCCTCCTCCTAGTTCGAATGCTTTCGCTGCTTTCAACACTCCAATATCATCCCATCTCTTGCCTATGACTTGCATTCCTACAGGAAGCATACCCTTCCCGGTTCGTGAAGGTGCCCATCCGCATGGCACGTTTAGAGCAGGATGACCGGTCGCATTGAATGGGGCTGTATTGTTTGTGGCTCCAACTGCCAGCTTGACCTTGTCCATGACGGTGCTTCCACCTTCGGCCTCAGGTCGCAAATCGGGATGAGGAAGAGCAACAGTCGGCGTTGTTGGCGTGATGAGAACATCGAACTCCTCCAAAGCCTTGTCATATGCCGCCCTCAATTCTAGTACATGTCGATGAGCCTTGGCTTGAACTTCCGGACCAAACTTGTCTTTCAAGAAAGTCTCGCAGAAAATGATGTTGATCACCGCAGGATTGGACGCCGTTAGCAGATCGTACATTTCTTGATCTGGCGGCCATCGTAGAAAAAGGTGGGGAATGTTGTGGCTGAGTACATCAGGAATTCGTCCGCCAATGGCCAACCCTGCAAGATGAGTTCTTGTTGCTGCGGTCCAGATTGCTGGTCCAAGAAGATGCATCGGAAGTGAAATTTCAGAAACTGCTGCACCGCTCGCTCCGAAATGCTTCACGGCGGCTGATTTGACAACATCGGCAACTTCGACCTGGGTCCCTAACGACTCAAGAGACTCCTTGATGATGCCGACTTTCAGACCATTACCAGGTTCCTTTGCTGAAGACAGCTCGCTCGCGTAATCTACAACATTCTGCCGGAGCGGCGACTCTGGAGTCATTCTTGGATCGAGACCATCATAGCCAGCGACTACCATCAACAATGTTGCAATGTCCTCCAATTTTCTCGCCATGGGTCCCGTATAGTCGATCATTGGATGAAGTCCAGCTATTCCTGTATATGGGACGAGTCCATATGTCGGCTTCAGGCCATACACGCCGCAATATGACGAAGGAAGTCGAATACTTCCCGCTTGGTCCCCGCCCATGGCTAGGCCAACATCTTCACCAGCTTCATCCAGATTAGGCACTCCAGCTGCTCGAGCATTACCCAGTGCAAGCAGACACGCACCTCCGCTTGTACTTCCACCAGCATTGTGGCCACGAAGCCATGGGTTGTGGACTGGTCCATTGGCCGAAGTGTAGGACATTGGAGTCAGAGAATAATTTTCACAAGTCGAAGTGCCCACAACTGTGACTCCAGCCTCCAGCAGGCGTCTAGTAATGGTCGCATCAATAGTCGCTAGGGGATACTTTCCATCCCGGGATACAAGTTGAGGAAATGTCCCACAGGTGTGTGGCAATCCCGCCACCGACATGTTATCTTTCATGATGATCTTGCGGCCCTTAAGGACGTCCGACAGTGGCTTTTCAGCCACAAGATGTGCTTGATGACTCCATGCATTATGGCTATTACTCTTGGATCTCCAATATTCTCGTCCTCCGATCGTAGCAATCGGCTCTAGCCGTGGATCGATATAGTCGGGAAGGTTATCGACAGTTGCGGCTGTAACATCCGCAGATTGCAGGACAAGGAGGTAGGCTTCTTCGTCTGCCTGGGACAAAATTCTGATATTGTTTCTTGCGGCGACATCGTGGAGTACATCGAGAGTAACGCTCGACCTTGAAATTTGTTAGACAGACTTTCATGCACACAAATGTTTGTGGGGGGCGCCTCCAACATACTGTTGCCCTTCGGCAAGCGCCACGATAGACATACTGTGTGCGACACACTTTTCTTTGCAGGAAACAACCCAAAAATTAGCGATCTCCTTCTGCCGTGCAAACTGGGGAAACGGGGAAAGTTTGAGATATATGAACGTGCCAACGCTGATGTCCGTTTCCAATGCGTTCATCTCCATCTTTCGTTGTTGAATCCGATCCTGCGCTTGCAATTAGAGAGCATTAAATCAGAGTCAATAGCAAAACATTCTTTTCGTAGCCCGTCCCGAACAAAAGTTCCCCTTCCACAGGTGTATGAGGGACAATCCCCGAGTACAGATCAACTCTGTGCCTCTGTAGGGACATCTTCCAACCAATTCCATTCTACTAGTACTCTGCCGAGGTCAATATCTGCCAGCATGGCAAAAGTATTGATGGTAACATCGATGTCGGTGGGTTGACAGCCAACACACCTATCCACAACAGTCAAGTCCACACTCTTATTATCTCTCCTTGCTCTTATCCTTTTCCCACACAGAGGGTTCGCATTAGGATTACTGCCAGAACTCGCGGCATCAAAAACAGTGTGTGATATTGCCACGATTTTGTCGTTGTCGTCGGACGTAAGACCGCATGCACCCAAGGCGGGCTCATAGTATGTCAAATCGCCCGTGTAGGGACCTCCGTTCCCAGAAGGTAAGGGGAGATTCTGGGTGCCTTTCCGGGTCGATAGTCCGGCTGCAAGACCGATTATGAGGGCGATGATAGCAACGACAACAACAAGGATTATGATTCGGGTTCTTCGTGACAGGCTCTTCCATCGATCCAGCAAACGTTTTCTTTTGGTAGGAAGCTGTGCTGCTTGAGGCGCCGGCACAGGCTTACGACGAATTGTTGCCGATCTGGCTGCATCCAACGCTTGTCCTTCTTGTTCGCCCATGTTTCATCGGTGAACCCCTGCCTGTTTAGATACGATATGAGTTGTTCATTGGCGAGAACAGCACTTCTGAAGACGTATTATTCTGGTAATTGAGGTATCGAACGGGATCTGCGATGTCTGTGTTCAATGACCGCGCATGTAGTGCCGGGTGTAGGCATTGACAGGAGGTGAACGAATTACTTTGTAGTAGTGCTCAATTGGTCCGCCTATACAGTTTGATGAAATGTGTTAGGCCGGAGGGATACTCGGTGCGATTATCCGCTCAATAGATAGGAGGATGGAAGACAGAGAAATCGTAGGATCCGCACTTGAGAGGAGGAGTGAGGACGTTACCAGATACAATTCAATTCAGCTCCCGAGCCCGGCTCACAAACCTTAGGTAGTTCCTGTCGGAATTATTACGATTTTCTCAGTGCTGGTTCGGATTTTTCGTTTAGGCTCCGCCCCACAACGCGTCTCGACGCGTGCCTAGTCATAACCTCATCATCGAAATCTTCATATCATGTTGCTCCTCTATCACCACCTTCTTCTCCATGCTGAACTGCCTGCCATCTAAACCGATGACTTGGGCATGATTGCTGACGATGGGTGCTCGCCGGGAAAAAGGTCAGGTCAGGCGCCAAACGTGAGAGGGACGAAGAGAAGATTAAGGGGAACGCGCCGTCGAGTGACATATATCTCGAAGCATTTCGTGGAAAATGTGACCAAAGATGAGTCCGAGGGAGATGTCTCTCCTTTGAAAAGTGCAGAAATGCGAGACGGTCAACAGAATGAAGAGTCGACGCTGGAGACCCCTCTAGTTACACCAGCTCGACCTCAACCACGAATTTACTATGGAGTCAATATCGACGAGCTCTCGTCTGACTCAGATCTCTCGGATGTTCCTGACGATATTGGCCCAGACCCATTCTTGCCAGAACTTCTATCCCCCCCGTCGCCTTCCAGAGTTCATGCCGTCACAGCCCCAACCCAGAAGCGTCACCGACCAACAAAATCCCCTTACTTTCCTCATAAACATCGACCTACATTTTTGACCACTTTGCCATTTCCGCCCATCTCTCATAACACCTTCGGTCTAATGCAAGAGCGACTGGCGCATGACCCATTCCGTCTCTTAATTGCCACTATTTTCCTGAATAAGACACCAGGCGAGCGTGCCATGCCAGTATTTTACCAGCTCATGTCCAAATATCCTACGCCAGCTGATCTAGCGCATGCAGAGGTCGCCGACATCACTTCGGTCATCTATGGTCTTGGCTTTCAAAACCAGCGGGCAAGAAAATGTGTGGCCATGGCAAAGGTGTGGATTGAGAAACCACCGGAGAAAGGGAAGAGGTATAAGAAACTGAATTACCCTCTGAAAGGAGATAGTAAAGATATCAAGGACGGCGAGACTCTAGGTGATGACGATAACCGAGTGGCCTGGGAAATATCACACCTCCCAGGTTTGGGCCCTTACTCCCATGATAGTTGGCGCATGTTCTGCCGCGATGCGCTGAGGGGTATTGCGAAAAGTTGGAATGGGGAGGGTGCAAAAGACCCCGAAACCTTTGAGCCGGAGTGGAAACGGGTGATCCCATTGGACAAGGAACTCCGAGCATATCTTACCTGGATGTGGCTCAAAGAGGGGTGGGTTTGGAATAAGGAGACTGGGCAAAGAAGCAAAGCCAGCGAGGAGCTGATGACAACAGCTAAGGGAGGTGGCGTTGTGGTGGAAGAAAAAGGGTCGGACCATTTACTTGTTAAGGAGGTGGAAAGGGAGAGTCTAAACGACCTAAAGCATGAGAAAAGGATTGAGCGAACAGCGGGCGAATATCTGCCGGGAAATTCGCCAAAGGATGGAGATGAACCGGGGCCTGAGGACGCCAATGAAACTATCAACGATGCGGTTGTGCTGGCGAGTGGACGACTTTGACTTGTGCACGCCCAAGGATTGAGGCTCTGCAGTTCAAGATGCCCGATGGCTATCGCGGCTCCTCCAACAAATCACTCCCAAGGGTGGCTGTGCCCCAGGTCAATTGCCTCCTTTGTCCGGAAGCGGTCTCAAGTTGCAATACAGACATTGCGATTTTCAATCACTGCCAGCACTTTCAAGCATCCAGAACAAAGAATTCAACTTTCAAGTCGCAACAGCGACGTCGATATTTTTCTCTCAAGTCGAATTCATGCCCTCTCCTTGCTGGGGTCAGCTAAGCCACAGCCACTATTTCCTCGACCTGGGTTCAAGCTGGTGATGCCCACGCCCAATATGTCGGTGCTCAGAAGCCACCAATCAAAAACTGTTGTATAACGACCATCCTCGCCTCCACAAATGTATTGCTTAGCGGTGCACCTACCCGAGTCTTTATCTACGAGTACTCGATCCTAAACTCATGCTATGCGCTCTCTGGGCCCAAAATCAAGGATTGACCCTTGAAAAGTACCACTGTGGCTTGGTGACGCCCAGTGGAAAAGATACCCCTCTGGCGCACTCGAATGCATCTAAGTGGCTGCCTATCAAGGCAAAACGGAACTTTTCGTTTGACTCACAATCTTCAACGTTGCGGCAAAGAGGTTGAGACGTGTGACATAGTTTGGGACTTTACAAATATCTACTGCTGCTTTCTCACTTTGGATCAATCGGACTTGTAGATTTCATGCAGCCCGACCATAGATCAGACCATCACCCACCCAACTACACTTGCAAGCAAAACCCTATATCATCACTGTTTTTCAAGCCTTACGCCCACAATATGAATATCATGCCTAGTTACTTCAGCCACGGCAGGAGCCCGGAGACCAATGCAGACACCTCCCTCGGATCCTCCAACACAACCAATACCACCAATCACATCGATTCGCGATCTGAAAGACCGGGCCATTTCCCCGACATAGGGAAGTTCTTGATTATTAACCCCCAGGATCAGAATGCCTTCTCGAGCGATAGCCTCAACTGGCAACTCGGACACGAAGCTAATCTCCACCCCCGAGCTGTCATCTACATCCAAGACAAATCAGTCAATACACGAATCAATGACCGAGTGATGCTCGTTCTGCGAAAAAACAAAGGAGGCCCTTCTTTTACCTGTTTGTCCTTCTGTTGGCATAACGATCTCGATTTCGACGAGCCGTCACAAACAATGACACATCGCCAGGCAGTGTCCGGGGGCTCACGATCTCGACAGTTACCGCCGCCACAGTCGCAGGGAAGATCACCGCACAGCCATGCCCTTGACAGCGATGCAAGCATCGAACCGAGGCTACCCTCCGTTGAAGTTGAGCTTCGCGTACATGGTGTCTCTGGGCTCCAGCCCCATATCTATCTCAACTGCGAGGCGCTGTGGAATGTCGAACGCGAGGTCAACGTGGCTGTATTGGGCAAAGTGAGTGTATCATCATTCAAGGCCGTGGTTGAGCATGTGAAACGGCTTTTTTGCGAGTCGTTGGACAAGGCTGTGCACAAGGCCGAACATGCTGCGCCTAAGGCTGAATACTCTGCGCATGTCCCTCCAGTGGAACCCTCGAGATCGACCACGGCGCCACTTAATATTCCCCAGCATCCACGCCACGGCCACGGCCATCGACATGAGCATGGACACAGCCGGAGAGTGCACGAACGACCCAGAAGGGGATTCTTCCTATAATTTGATGAGATTGCCTCTGGTTCTATCATGCGAGAGTTCGACTAGGCGGTCCTTTTCTCTTCTATTCCTTTTTCCCTCCCCCTAAAACTTCGTGGATATCTAGACAGGATCTCATGGCGATGGCAATGACTCCGGTGTTATCGTGGTTTGGAACCTTGTAGGATGAAGCACAAAGCGGGTGGAGTTGTCGGGGCTTATGTTCAGAGGGTGCAATTATTTTTCTATCTTTGGTGCCTGTCTGTGCGGCTGTAGCACCAGGTATGTGACGGGCGTTGCTTGTTGGCTTTCGTCTATATATCAATAGGGTAATGGAGAGAGTTTCACAATCATCTGGGTAATGATAGGTCCCTTCGAGCCAGTGTTCTCAGTTATTCAAGTCAGCCAAGCGACTAGATTATTCGACTAACTTATTCTTAGTCTAGTCTAGTCAAGTTAACTAGCTTATCGATAAGTTGTTCAGCTGCTGGCGGAGGGGCAATGTGATCCACGGACTGGATCCGATTCATGGACCATCTCTCTACGGATTGGATCCGATGGGGTGGCCTTCGTCCTCACGTGATAGTGCCAAGCCACGAGTTCACGTGATTAGTCGACGCGACAGTCTTGGCGCAATCACGTGCCGCACAACGCCAAGCCACAAACAGGTAAATCCTAAATTAAAAAGCTTCCAAAATGACACCAAATCGTGGTTAACCTATCAAGGACGTTAACCGAGTGGTAAAACACTCAGCTTTCGGTCGAACCGATAATAACTGAGAACACTGCTTCGAGCTCCTTGACGACCCAAGATTACTCACCCATATTGAAGCGATTGTTGATCAACGAGGTTCCCTGTCCTACCTTATCATGGGCCCTTGTCGGAAATAACCGTCTGAAATTACTTTTGTCAAGCTTTGTCGAGTCAATCAATAATATCCTGCGATTTCTGACATCTACTTAATCAATCCTGTAGTATAATCCGCCTTCATTCACCTGTTGCTCTTTCAAAGCCAATATGTCCACGGTCTACTCTATGCTGTAGTCGTATCCCACCACAGGATTCAGGACGGGAGGACGATGAGATTCGGTGTGTCTGCTGCTAATACCAACACAGATTAAAGGTTCCGGCTGCAGCGACAGATTTTCTTCGCCTGTGTCCAATTCATCTCTTGTCAGCCAACCCATAGGCGACGGGTCAATGTCGACGAGTGTTTTTGCGCGTGGTGGAAGAGACAGGTCCCGGAACACAAAGCCCTGTACACCCCGATGAAGTATACCGTTCCATCGGAACAGCTTCCCAGCGGATTTCAAAGCCAACCGTTATGATTCGTCCACGGCTGGTCGAGTCAAGATGGTTCTTGGATAAGCAGGAGTGGATGTAAGTATGAGTGGGCACAGTAATTGCCCTGGCCGTCACGAACGCTGGGTTTCCCTTGCGTGGGACCGCTCGCGATCTGCAGCGCGCGAAGGACCGGTCAAGCCAAGTTCCCCGTCGTCAAGATCGAGCGGACGATCATCTCAGTCCACGATATTGAGGGCGTATACGATGTGGCTGTCAAGGGATGTACTAGAGCTTGTGTGAAGGAAACCAGCATGCGCAGACTCGTGTACACCTTTACCTTGGCGGCGGTCAATGACGATCTGCACTTAGATACGGAGCTGGGGAGGACGTACACGGAGAAGGGATGGAATCCGACGTGAGAGAGAGGTGCAAATATGACAGGAGAACATATGGCTGTGACCAGCTACTGTATGTCTCCTTCCTGGTTTGGTGACATTAGAGACAACAGAGTTATTCTCTGATTGGTGGCAATGGGCATCGGTTGACGGACTGGGAGAAGTATGGGAACCGGCAAGAAACTCACTGAACGATACGCGTGGAAGTTTATGGAAGAGCAGAAACCGTATTTTGACTCGGTGGTGTTGTGTCCTGGGACCGCGTACGTGGTACCTAAGCAGGTTCTCAAGCGGGCCGGGAGATTCGGATGTTTTAAAAACGTAAAGTATGTTCTCGTTCTCAATAAATCCAGCATATCCGCCAAGTGGGGATTTACGGTGTTTGGAGTCGAAGCTGACCTGTTCGGGCTTTGGAGGATATCGTATGCTCGAATGAAGTGATTCCTGGAGATCCAACTCCGGTATGACTCTAGACCAAGCACAAGCTGGTTTCTGATATCGTGGAGTGGTCGCTAATGACATTGGAAAGGTCTTTTCTAACGTTCTCGACGTTGCGGAGGTGCAATTGGAAGAACTGACTTGGCCAAAGTGTGGTGGAGGCCGGTGCCCGATTGTAGGTAATTGCGAAGTCATTGGCTATGGCGAAAACATTCAAGATGCTAAACCCCAGAACAGGTGTCAGGGAGCTATTCCTACGCACCCATCTTTGCGATTTTGAAGAAGAAATTTCCGGAGCAGGCACATCGATTTCCAGGTATCGGGAATGATGGGCTGCCATTGAAATCTGTGTTTGTCAACGATTGCAGAAAGATAGAACAGGGACTGCGGACGCGATGGAGAACTTTAGAGGAGACGGTGATAGAGGGACAAAGGTGCCATTCGCATTGGAGAAGGAGACCCTGAAGGTCTTGAGAGGCTGTGGTCGGCCCTGGAATAAGGGAGGACCTTGAAGGATCACGCTAAGATTTGGAGCGTGTTGAAACAGTCAAGCCAATGAAAAGAATTCCACCGACCGAAATTGGGTTGGGATGTAGACGAGTCCGATATTTTAAGGGATCATGTGCCATCTCGTTTTGATTTTCTATCCAGAGGCCCAGAATATCAATGGATAGAGAAACGGCAAATTTCTTGCATTTGGCTTCTCAAAGCTATGTCCCCATTCCAACCTCTTTCAAATAGGGAGGAAAAGCGTGTCAAGTTGCTAGTTTTGGGAAAGGAATACGTACAAGAACGGCTGATTGCTTTGTCAAGGGTCTGGAGAATGGGGCAATGATCTTTCATGCGTGCCTGATCGCTGTTAGTATCCGCCGCTCACTAAAAGGGACATTGCCCATGAATACCTCCTTCTCGCATTCGATTCTCCCTGAACATGTGTTCATGATCTGCAATCAACAAGGATCTTGACATGTTTGTCCTTTTCGTCGATCAAGGCACGATAGCCGTCTTGGACGACTCGATCGATTTTGATCTTACTGGTGATCATCCCTTCAGGCTTCAGGCTCCCATTGTCAAGGGCCTTGATAACTCCGACAAAATCTTCTTTGAGGTAGCCGAGAACTGCAAATTGTCGTGAATTGGTCAGCCATTGAACTGGTCGACATTTTGTGATGTGATGTTGGAAACAAGACCGTTTCGTTGATCAGGTTAGACTTTCGTTCCTCCCAGGTGCTGCTATTCAAAGTCGAAAAGCAACCGGCGATATCGAACCGACCGAACCAGGCTTTAACCTCGGCTTGGAACTCGACCGTATCCGGGTGGTAGAGCACCAAGACAGAGTTTTCGTATTTCAGTCTCGAACGTCGGGTGTCTAATCATCGAGCGTGTTCATGCCGATCACGCGAACACCGGAAAGAGAAACGAAGAAAATGTCACTTACTGGCGAGATACTTCTTTTCTCCAAATACGAGGTTGTTGGGTTGAAATGGGATCTGGTTGACATTAGCATCCAATGTGTCTTATGTCGCCATGTTTCCCTTCGACATACCTCTTTTTCCCAAATGGCCAGATTCACCACGGTCCCCCTTGCTCTGACTGAGAGGGCGGCCGATTTGATACTTGCTGGAACGCCCGCTGCGTCTAAAGCCAGATGCGGGCCTTGTCCATGGCAAATTTCTTTGCTTCGCTTGACCACGTCGTCTTTCCTCGGATCGATCAGGTGAGTGGCACCAAACTGCTTTGCGAAATTCTGTCTCTCCTTGGCGATCTCGACAACGATAATGGTCTTCGCGCCACGTGCTTTCAAGCATTGAATGACTCCCAACCCGATGGGACCCGCGCCCATGACCAGCGCCTGATCACCCTCTTTGATCGGATACTGGTCAACGGCATGCCACGCAACTGCCAGCGGCTCTACCAGGGCACCCACATCTAGAGGGATGTGATCGGGTAACTTGAACACAAACTGGGGATCGATGCAGACAAAATCCGACATTCCTCCTCCACCACCGCTTAGCCCGACGAAGCCGGCACTGTCGCAGCAATTGATATACCCTTCCTTACATGGTCCGCAGGAGAAACAGCATATGGTAGGTTGAACAGCGACTTTGTCTCCGACCTTCAAACTGGAAGGATTTTTGGCTTTGGAACCGATTTCCACTACCTCACCACTGAATTCATGACCAATGGCAATCGGCATGGATTCCTCGGTGACTGGATGCGGTGATTCTTTCGACGGGATAAAGGTCGGCGACGAGTACTCGTGTACTGATTCGTTACAGGTTAGTCCCTGCGACTTCCGGCATCCAGGCAGGCACTCTCCGAGGGGGGTTGAGAGTATATACTAGTCATCGACCAATTGATCCAAAAGGGCATCTTACAATCCGTTCCACATATCCCACAAAAGGCAGCTGTCGTCAGGGATCGTGGTCAGCACGTGCTTTTACTTATCCAAATCACATCTCTTCCGACTCCCGAAGGACTAACGCTTTATCTTGATTTGATCTTCTCCACACTGAGGTTCTGGGATATCGTTTTCGACACGAAGGTCTTTGACGCCGTGATATCGGAGAGCTCGCATGTTAGGTAATTGGCGTAATGACGGGGCAGGTATCGAGTCGACGAAGCTCAAGACCTATCCCTTTCGTGACAGAGAAAAATATATTTGCTCTGAATCGGTTGGTTAAGAGGAGATAGACAATATGGAGAGTCAGGTAGACATGCTTCATGGTCGTTCATCACATCGGTCCAACGGAAAAGAAGGAGGGATTGTCCCCATTCAGGCAGTCATCATGCCGCCGAATTGACCAGGGGGACGGAGAATCAACATGGAGGAACAGCCAACAGGAGCTCTCATGGATCCAGGTTCCAGTTTTACCATGGAGCCCATGTGAGGGGGAATGCTTTGAAATGGAAACATTCGAAGCACGTGATTGTTACCACCCAGCCACACCTGCGTGGCTGAATGCATACGTGGAACATGGACATCCCCGGCTAAAAGCAAAACTGCGCATCATAAAAGTGGAACGTGGGCCATTGAACACGATGATCAAAAAGAGCTCACCCCAGCAGCAATTCATATTAAATCAAGCCTCTCTATCGGGTCCTTCCTTTCTTTAGATATCACCGTAAAACTAATGCATACACACGACGCTCGCTAAAGGATTGAAAGCGCTTTTGCTTTTGGAGGAGCAATAGCCATAACGCTCGAAACACATAAATCATCGCTCACTGAAGTCGTCATCTCAACCATACCGTATGGTTCGATACCACGGTCATGCCCGCCATGGATGGATTACACTGTCGCCAGAATTATTTTCGGTGTTCCTTTGTCCTGTCCTTCAAGCTTTTCCATTTCCCCGAGGAAAAAAGTTATGTCCAATATTAAAAAGCGTCGAGACGAATCGAAGGATTGTGCCTCGGGCTAAAGATGAGTCCAAGCACCTTAGATCATGAGCTTGAAAGCTGCCATCAAGACTGCTGCAAAAGCACCAGTGGTGATGTGTTGGGAGAGACCCATAGCAGCGTTTCCAGACTCGGTTGGAGAAGGTGTAGAACTAGCAGCAGTTGCGGAGCCAGATTCAGAAGCAGAAGATGGTGCGCTGGAAGAAGTCGCCGCAGCCGAAGAGGCGGATGCGGCAGAAGTAGCAGCAAGGGCTTCAGCTGTCGCATTACGGGTACCACATTGCTCATTATCCGCGCACACAGACTGAGCTTGAGCGTCATTGGGATGATTGTTGATGCATTGGATATAGGTCTCTTCACAGATGTAGAATGGGAGAGTTTCGATGAAGGCTGTGCAGTCGGGCGCGGTGCCGTTGGGGCAGACACAGCTGTAAGTGAACGTGTTCTAGGATAGAATTAGTTGAAGGGTCTATACTTCCTTCAGGTCAGCTTCAGCTTACCTGGTCACACAAATTTTGGGAAGCAATTCCCCCACAGATTTGCGGGCAGGTGTTCAATTGGGCATGGCACCAGTTGACTGGTTATAGATCAGTACTGTGTTCACGCCGGTGTGTGTTAGAACAGCATTCTCTCTTACATGCGGTGGTAGAGTCAATTCCCGCTGGATTGAAGGAAGCGGTAGCGGCAGGAGGCATCACCTGCGAGACGGTGGTAGAGGCAGCGACTGAAGAAGCGCTGGAGGTTTCGATCGTCTGCGTATGGGCCACAGCAGCCAGAGCCGCAGCTGCGAGGAGGATGTTGGACAGCATGATGGCAGTGGAGAAAGAGGATGAACGAATGTGTCTAGTCCTTTTGTCAATCTCCAATGTCAACTGACACTTGGTGTATGTGATTCAGAGAGGTGAATGGAAGTGGGAATGGCCGTGAGATGCAGGGCGGTGGATAGAAAAGTGCTGGGGGGAGGTGAGCAGCAGGAACAACAGTGGAGATCCTGCAGTTGGTCCACACACCCTAAGGTAACGAGCACAGAGCTTACCTTTTATCTTTTTGGGAGAGCGAGAGGCTGGTACTCGGTGTATCTGTTGCTATGCGACAGTGAGCGGGAGAGAGACGAGAGAGGGTGATGGCTGGGGAAGATGCCTGTCACTTTATTATTTCCGTGAAGGCTCATACAGTAAACTTGTCCGCGCAATAGAGGCCCGGAAAGGCAAGTCGCGGTCGCTATCGTGTCCTCTGCATTGGTTTGCCTCTCTATCTTGAATACCAGTGTGCAGCTAACATGTCACTAGCCGGGGTAGGGGACGCTGATTGCTAGGGTCTGTAAAGATCACCGAGCTGGAGCCCAGCAGCAGCCCAGCTCGGTCCTGCACTAGAACCCAATGCCTCCCAGGCATTCGTCACGCCTCCTGCGCCGATCCACCACTTCTAAAACACATTAAAAAAGGTCCGCCCAATCGCAGCCTAGGCGGCGGACAAAAGCTGCGGGAATCGTCCTCTTCGGGCCACTCGTTTCCATCACGAAAATCCACGTCAACCATGACCTCGACCAAAAAGCCTTGTCCCACTCACTAGTAGCTCTATCCGCCAGGAATCCACCACTCACCATGCTTGATATCGGAGATTCGAAGAACCGAGGTTTCTCTTCGGATCGCTTTCTTTATGTCCATAGACTTCGGCCAGAGTTATACAACAAACAGCTTCTGACTTACTACCTTGCTGCTCTGTGAGACTGGATAATATGCAACTGTGACAGGTACAGGTAGCTTCACCTCGTCCCTCCGGACGCCTCCATCATGGGCGAACAAATGGACTTTCTGTCCAAATTCATCACTACCCACCGAGTGCCCGAAGATGCCCGCCAACATTTCGCATCCATCGAATGGACCAACAAGTACCTGTCCGACCCTCTCTATAAAGCCATCCCGACCTTCTCTCGCGCCCCCAAGGAGTCTGGCGAAGACTATTTCTTCTCCCACACTATCAGCTCCCCTTCCACTATTCCGCACCTGATCACGCTGCAATTGAAGGACTACCAAACCCCTCCAGAAAGCGTAAAAGGACAATTGGAAACAAGGCAGAGTCATACCGAGGTGGCCAAAGTCCCCGAGAAACCGGACTGTATCATATTGTTGGAACTGGGACGGCCAGGTCTGGACGGCCACCCCGCAGTCATCCACGGAGGCATGGCCTGCGCCATTCTCGATGAGATGATGGGTCTTTGTGTGATGCTTCACCAGCAACACATCTCCGGACCCAGAGATTCGCTCTTCACCGTCAGTCTGAACGTAACTTACCGTGCACCTGTTCCTACTCCAGGCGACGTCCTCGTCAGATGCTGGCTGGTAGGAAGAGAAGGTCGCAAATGGTTGTCGCGAGGCCAAATCGTCGATAAAGACGGTCTAGTCATGACCGAAGCAGAGGGACTGTGGGTGCTAGCCAAACGACAAGAAAAATTATAACCCCGCGTGAGCCCGAGCATGTCACCCAACTTAGTCTCACGATATATCACTGCCCCGGGACTCCGACTGCAGTGGGGAATGGAATTCGGAAGAGGCTGGAATCAGGAAACATCGCTCTCTCTCTGGACGCAAGGAATCCTCCAATTACCACCACGATCCACTAACTCCTCTTATCTGCTCTCCAGACTGCTTTTCATTCCGTTTAAGATTTTGACAAGGAGCTTGAGTCCGTTCGTCTGCCACAAGTCAGCTGGGAAATTATGGGGACCTCTGGTGGATCCGCGCCACACTCCTGCAAAGATCACGGTAACTTCGGTTGCAGGGGCGACCACCAAGATCAAAGAGAATGGGAACAACATGCAATGTCCGCTTCTTCCGTTCCAAACGAAGCTTGACGATCTGCAGTTCTGGGTAGCACGGAGTATGGTACGCGATCACATTAACATGAAATTTTGCGAGATGTCGAGAAATTGGCCGTGATGCCTCAAGAGTGACTGAGTTGCTTTTTTTTTTGCTTGACATCTATATATATATATATCCCAGAGCTATAGAATCAGCACCATAGAGAGTAGAGATTATAAATTTTGAATGCAAGCTACGGAACACTCAAGTGCACACCTTCCACCTCCACTATAGCAAGTTGGCCTGGGCTCCAATGAAAAGCTTTAATTGTTGGGAAATGTAGGTCGGTGTCTCTGGACTCTTTGCATTTATATTCGAATCAATGTTCTCTTGGACAAGCATCATAATGGAGCCCTCTGCCCAAGGTACATAGGTGCATGCCTATTCCGTACAAGTAGAAAGTACTACAAAGTAACCAACCCAAACCCGCAAATTCACCAACGTCCACTTGCTGATCAAACCCGATCATGCAAATCCATCGCTGTATCAAGTATTCATTCACCCTCATAGCCCTCACCAACAGTTTTATCCCTCGAGACGCGAATCTCCTGCATGGCGCGCTCGCCTTCTCTCTCACCCTCGAGCACCAGTCCCTTCTCATTCGCCAAGTGCAGAAGACAAATGAAGCAGTAGCTAGTACTGATATCTTTCATCTGCTGCTTGGGATACACTGATCTCAAGTCCTGTATGAGGTCTGTGAAGTTGAGGACCTCGACACCCGCGCCGCTGCCGTTGCCGTTGCCTGTTGGTGTTGGCGGCATATCTGACTCTTGCGGCGTCGGAGGTTGAGGCTGATCGTCGACGTCCATCATCTCGACATCCTCGTCTACAGACGCCTTCTGTGCTGTTGTCTGTCCTTGCGGCGGTGGCGGTTGATCAAACACAGCAATCATCTTCTGGCTCATGCCCTTCCACATATTCTCCTTTAGCTGCCTGACATCAACTTTCTTCGCGGTGCGCGCGTAATTAACATATTCAGGCCTGAGTCTCTTCCCAGCCTGTGTTACCAGCTGGCTGCCAAAACTGCCAGGGAGCAGATCAGGCTGGTTCTGCGGCACGCTCGGATCCTGGGAATCGTGAGGCTGTCGTTGGGATCCATCAACATCTCCATCGCCATCTATTGGCGCAAGAAGATTTTGCAGCTGATGTCCCTCGGGCTGAGGACTGAGCATCTCTCTTGCGTCCATAAACGCTTGAGCGCCGTCGTCGCCACCGTCAACCATGCCATCGTCATCGTCGTCGTCGATGGGCAATGGTCCGTCAAAGAAAGGCATCGGGTCATCATCCGCGAAGAAGTTGGCATCGTAGTCGCCTTTTCTTCCCTCATCATCGTCTTCATCTGTTTCCCCATTACTTGTTGTGCCCGCCCGATTTCTTGCTCCGAAGCCTTCGTCAATGACGCCCATTCCTCCTTTTCGTCGGCCGACTCGACACTTTGGCTTGGTCCATAAGCGCATCAATTTTCTTGGATCAACAACTTCATCATCTTTGTCCAGCAAATTCCGCCCTTTTGTCCTCCATTGAGCTTTAGGTAAGCTGATCTGTGAATTGAGAACTGCAGGCGCCTCAAGGAGCTCTTTCAACGAGTCGGACATCGGACCCAGGAAATCAATCTCCAAAGGCTCTTTCTCTTTTCTTTGCCTGGTTGGTGCACTTGACTCACCCTGTTGAGCTTTCTGGATTTTTTGCATTCGCCAGTTCTCCAGGGTGATAAATGCCATTTTGCCTTTCGCCCGAGAATTGAATGCCTTGTCGAAGTATGCCATGATGGACTCATGCTCTGCATCTTCTTGATACTTGTGCTGCAATGCCACAGCATATCCATCCGCATTGTTTCCCTCGATCAAATTGTCGTCAACGTCTTCTGCTCGAGGAGCTCGAGTTTGGGCCTCAATGGCCGCGTCTTTAGCCCAAGCTTCGCCCCCTTCTCCGAAGCCGACATTGTCAGCGACATCGAAGCCTCCAAGCAGGCCACCATCATCGTCGTCGTCATCATCAAATCCCAAAGCATTGCTACCATCGAGAAAAACTCCGGTTTGATCAGATAGATTGAGATTGGGATTGATCGTGGGTTGTTGGGGCGTCGCAGCTCCTTTCTTCTGATCCCGCCAGTCTTCGGGCGCTTTGAGGAATGGAATGCTGAGGTCTCCGGATGGGTCACCTAGTGTGAAAGATTTCATCGAAGGGCAGATGTCTTGAGAATCCAGGATTCCCATGTCGGGAAAGAATTTGGCTGCCAGCGAAGCGAGATCGATTTCTTCGTCTTGATCATTCTCGATAACAGCCTCTCCAGTTTTGGCGGCTTCCATCTCAGCTGCATCCGTCGTTGATGTTTCTTTGGCTTCGTTTTCGTTTTCGTTGTGTTCTTGTTGGTCGTTCTTCTCAGCAGCCAGCGCTGCATCCCCCGCGTCGTCGCTACTATCAAACACGATGCGCCCGTCGGAGTCAATTGACAAGTGATTCAATAATAGACCTTTAGCCCCTCCTTCATCGAAGTCCGCCGATGCTTTTTTGAACAATGGGTCGACCGCAAATTCTAGTTCCAGCTTCTTTCCTTGAAAAGAAGCAAAACTGGGTGCAAGTGTAGCTTCATGACTTCTCGCAGGCTTCTTCTTCGACTTCTTTTTTCCTTCACCATCTTCGCCGTCCTCTCCATCTTCACCATCCTCATCTTCGTCCTCATCGTCGGCTCCTTCGCCTTTGTTTCTCCTTTTGCCTTCAGAACTGCCACCGTCCGCCAAACCACTCAGTAATCTGCCTGTCTCTGTGGCCACGCTGTCGACTCTGCTGGTATAGATCTTTACGCAGCCATCCAGCGTGCAACTCGCTTTCTGGAAGTTGACCCCGTCGCCTTCTTTCAGGAGACTCATGTCATGAAAATAGTCGATTAATGCAAAGTTCCAAGAATTCGCCGCATTGATCTTATTGTCTGTTGCCATCTTCATCCATTCCTCAAAGTTCGCCAGGATAGGCACGCGTTTCATAGGTGTGATTCCACTCCCAGACAGGGTGTCCATTTGATTTGGGCTATTTTGACTGTTATTCTGCTGTATTGGCCCTCTCTTACGTGCCTCCGCACCTTGAATTCTAGGCGTACGCGGCGATTCCGATATCGTTCGACTGCTCGTGTCTCTTCGCCGATTGATTTTTTTGATCGGACTTGCCGCAGCACGGATTTCGTTCATATGGATCTCCTGTAGAGCTTGTCGTGAGTGTAATCGGGCAGCTTTTTCGCCTCGGTCGTCATTGAGTGCTAATCTGGTAGTGAATAAATATCAGTTCAAGTTGCCCGACTACATGAACCGTTGTATGCGAGTAAAGCTCGTCGCGTCCCGCTCAAGTGGACTGAGAGTAGTCTTACTTCACTGGAGATCCTCTATTCTTTTCGCGTGTCATATTCATGACAACAGCTTGCCGGCTGGGTCGTCTTGAGTCACTTGCGACGCGAGGCATGCCACAACTTGTTTCTAGCGGGTTGTCTTGAAATTTCGGCTGTTCTTGGTGAATTGTTCGCCCGGATTCGGCGTACCTCAATAGAACTGCTTTTGCTTAATTGTACATTGTTCTGTTAAAGAAATGGTGCAGTTGATATCTGGTTGCTCCGAAATCCTCTTTGTTGTATAAACACCGAAAATAGACTAGCGTGACCCGGGACACGGGTTGACACGTGATTCTCGCGCCTTAACCAATAGAAGCATGGATAGGAACATTACACAAAATTATTTTTGAGACAGAAAGTCAATATTCTCCTATTCCTTACACAAATTATTCTCCGGTCCGCTCGCTTCACGACTTATCTAATCCAACACTCTTCCTGCGACGGCGCTACCACTGCGATCCTTTGTCTCAGTCTTACGAAGTCCTTTACCCGCTTGAATCTCACCCAGAAGAGCACCAATGTTAGCGGTGGGTGCCGGACCTGGCGCCGGCATTGGTGGAGGTGGGGGTGGTCCCCCGGGAGCGGCGGAGTCAGGGAAAGGAGGGGGTGGAGGAGGTGCGCTTGGAGCTCCAGCTCCGGGGATTGGTGGAGGAGGGGGGGGAGGAGGAGCTGCTGGAGCACCACTATCCGGCATTGGCGGAGGCGATGGTGTCGATTCAAAAGCCCCAGGGACAGGAGGTGGTTCTTGAACCGGGGTGTCAGGCTTACTATCCATGGAGGACAACGGCCTTGGTGGTGCCATGGTACCAAATAAAATCGATGCCAAATGTTTTGCGGAACCACTGGCTGGAGGGTCGTCTTCATTGTCACTCGAGTCATCCTTATCAGAACCCGCTGCCGACCACTCGTCTTCTTCTGGTCGTCGACGGGATTGAGCTCCAGTGAAGCTGGGTGATAACGGTTTGGCAGTCTCTTGTTGAGCAATTCGATGAAAAGGATTGGTGGAAGGAAGATCGGCAGGTGCGGCAGGCGCGGCAGGCGCAACAGGTGGTGCTGGCGGGGGTAAAGTCTGAGTCGCAGCAGGCGGTGAGAAAGTAGGTCGTCCACTTTCAGAAGACATGGAGAGCTTTTTGAAGTATGGATTTCTCGACTCTTCTGCGGGTGGGCTAGAAAGAGGAGTAGGAACGTGGCCGCTGCTTGTGGATGGTTCGGGAGCTGGTGCCGCAGGCGGTGGAGATGAGATAGTGCTTGTGAGTACTTGACTCGTCGCCGGTGTACTCTCTTGAGGAGTAGTAAGTTCTGGTCCTTCATCGTCATCCGATGACGAATCCCCCAGGTGTTCAAGCTGAAGTTGGAGTTGACGTTCCCTCTCCTTCGCCGCTTCAAGCTCCGCTCGTTGGGCTGCGAGCTTAGCCTCTTTTTCCTTGGCCTCTTTTTCTGCTGCTTTCTTTCGAGCTTTCTCCTCCTGTTTCTTGATTTTGCCGGCCTTGACTTGCTCCTCGAGAGCACGTAAACGAGCTTGAGCAGCTTCACGCTCCTTTTCAAGCTCATCTTCGTGGGCTTTTGCTTGGGCCCTATGCCATCGTCAGCGGATTAAGTCCATAATAGATGTATCTATCTACTCACTCGAGTCGTTTGCGTTCTTGTTCTTGTGCTTCCTGTTCTGCTCTAATCTGTGCGACTGCTTCTTCTTCAGCTTTCGCCCGGGCTGCTGCCTCCGCCGCCTTCCGGTCGGAGAAGTCGGCACTATCCTGGCGCGTTTTTCGGGTCGGCGGTGGAGGTGGCTTCTTTGCGGCCTTCGGGCTTGGAGGCGTCACCCCTTCATTGGCCAATCTCTGCTGCCTCTCCTGCTCCCGTTTGGCATCTTCTGCTTCCGCCTTACGGACACGTTCTGCTCTTTCCTGCTTCTCACGTTCTTGTCGTTGTTGAAGAGTCTCGCCGGAGTCGCCGGCAGGTTTGATACCAGCTGCCGCCATCCTATCTTGAATGCGTTTCAGAGCCTTTTCCTTTGCGGACGCAATGCGATCTTGTTGAGACGTGCCGGCGGTGAGAGACGAGGGCGAAGAGGCGGTAGTGGGCGCCGGTCTAGATAGAAGATCGCCATTGGTGGGTTTGGGCTCCTCGCGAGTATTCTCGGAAGATGGTTTTCGTGTAGAGCGAGATTGCCTAGATCAGTCAATATGATTTTCGTGGAAAAATATGTGGGTTATCCTCCTTACTCTTCTTTTCGAACCCTAGCAGTTCGACTGCTTCTTTGGAGGTCAAAAATGAGTTCTTTGATTTCATCTTCCACACCAAGTGCTTCTTCCCATCTTCTGCGTTCATGTTCCTGAGTCGCATTTTCTCCTTGATCACGCAGGCCGTCTTCAAGACTAGTCACAAAATCCTTCACACTGTCCTCGACGTCTCGAGTCATAGCTTCATGACGTTCCTGTTCGGATTTGATCTTGGACGTCTCTTGTTCGATGCGTCTTTGAGCACCAGCTTCGTCATCAGCTGCTGGAACGGGTCGACCGGCAAGTTCTGCGGCGCGAGCTTGCATTCTGGCTCTGGCTCGTGCTTTGATACGATCAGCCTCCGTGACTGAACCGCCAGGACCGGTGCCAACAATGTTTGCGGCACTATTGGGATGGGCCTTGGCATCCTTGAGACGGAAAAGTTGCAACTTGGCATCTGCAATGCTCTTCTCAATTTTTCGAACATCTGACGCCAATGCAGGCAAGCGGTCCTGGTATCGCTGCAACTCTCTCCGCATCATTCTTCTCTCCGCTCCACTATCCGAATCGCCGAATCCTGAATTTGGGTGGCTATCAATGTCATCCTGAATGCGGCGGATCTGTCGGAAGAGATCTTCGGCTTCCCTTCTATCTCTGCGATCTAGAACGTCGTCCTCATCAGCCTGTCGTTCGTCCTGGAAGTCCGTTGCATCCAAGAGGATTTTCTGCTCGCGGATTTTCTTCCTGATTTGATCGGGAGTCATATCATCATATGTAGAGTCAGCTTCAGAAGAGAGGGCAGGAGATGGTGTTCGGCCACCTCCAATTCGGCGCCGCGCGCTTGAACGATATCCAACATCGTCGTCATTGTTACGAAAGACAGTGGCATCTTTGCGTCCGAAACCAGGTGAGCTTGAGCCGCTGCGGAATGAGTGGTCTTTCAAATAGCTCACGCCCGTCTTTTGGGGTTGCAAGAAAGCTCCAGATGTCTTCCTCGTTTCAGCATCTTGAGAAAGCAGAGACTTCACGGTATCAATCGAATTATTGAAATTTCTTGTGGATGGAGGAATAAGTTCTGGTGGAAGTCGGTTAGGAACGGGATATCCGTTGAGTTTCCGGTAGATTAGATGCATTGCGACCGCAAATTCATCCATATCCAATCGACCCTTGTTGTTGGGGTCGGAGAGGGTCCAAATTCGTTCAAGATCAGACCTTTCAAGGCCACTCTGACCCATGATCTCGATTGCAACGTCTCCAGAGATGAAACCGCGGCCCAAACCATCCCAGGCACGAAAGAGCTGATCATAAATCTTTTTCTCATCCTTCGTCACGGCCCAAGGAACTTTGGCGCTACCCGCTAGGCCCTGTGTGGTGTAGCCGCCCGCTTCACGACCTGCCTGAGGCATCAAGCGCTGCCGAAGAGCTTCGATGTTAGGTAGGCCACCTGCTGGGGCATTGACGAAGCCCCATTGACCTGGAAGCCCAGTAGGTTGTGCTTGCAGAGGACCAGTTTGTTGTGGTGACATATTGTTTCCAAACCCACTTGGCATCGGAGGCAGGGGAGGGCGAGGACCACTATAACCTGCAGGCTGAGGGTTGCTCATAAATCCTGTCGGTTGAGACTGTACGCTTTGTTGTTGCCCGGGAAAGCCTGTTGGTTGGGATTGAAGACCAGGCTGAAACCCGGTTGCCTGATTGTAGAATCCTGTTGGCTGAGATGTGAGCTGCGACAATAGTTGCTGATTCGAAGGCTGCTGTGGTTGAGGCGCCTGCGGTGCTGGAGGAGAAACAGCATTCTGCCTGAGTGGTGCGTCAAAGTTTGGAACATTAGTACGCGGCGTCGGGAGTGGTTTGTCATCGGGGACACCAAATGAAATGATATCGACCATGCTTGACACCTCATTCTTGATCTTCTCTGGAAGGTCGGAAGGCAGATCTTTCCCAGTCAACTTCAAATTGCACAGATACATAGCCAGGGCGAATTCCGGGAACAGAAGCTGCCCAGACTTGGTCGTGTCTGACAATATCCATATCTGAGATAAAGCGCTGCCTGGCAACTTGGACCTCAGTAGTAGATCTTTAGCTTTTTCACCATCCAACGCCTGGCTATCTCCCACGGCAGACTTGAACAGCTGCTCAAATTTGGCCTGATCTGTAGCCGTAATGAAGGACAATCGAATGTTTGGGATCTTGCTAGAGCTCTTGCTTGCCCTCCTGTTTGATGTGCCTGCACTAGAAGACCCAGCCGTAAATGATTGCGCAATCTGTGACGAAGTTTGCTGGGGACGGACTGGGGCGGCTGGAGGCTGCTGTTGAGCCGGAGGCTGTGGTGGTGGTGGTGGTGGTTGATGAGCAGGCTGGAAAGATGGCTGCTGTGGGAAAGGCGGTGGTTGCTGGACTTGCTGAAACTGGGGCTGCTGAGCTGGATTTTGAGGAGGATATCCTGTGTACTGAGGTTGCTGCGTAGTGGCCTGGAAGTTCTGCTGTTGTCCAAATCCTGGAAACCCCGTCTGCTGTGTTTGTAATTGCCCGGAGAAGCCGGTAGGCTGCGGAGCGAAGGGAGAGGGTTGTTGAGGAGCCTGGTTGAAGGAGCCGAACGACTGTTGCTGTCCGAAAGCCCCCGGGCTAGGGCGAGCACTGTTGGCGCCCCCCAAAAAGGAATTGGAAGAGGAATACATGATGCCAACAGAACGCGATAAAATGCAGGTGAAAAAAGAAGAAATGGGTGAGACGACAGCAAAGTTCAGGCTTTTGGGGTTGAACTTTCTCGCTTGCGTTGCAACTTCGAATGACGCGGATAGTAAATTGCGTTGCTGATTGCATCTTGGCTGTGAGGCCCAACGCCTCATGGTCACGTGAACTCATTCTTTTGCCGTTTTAAGTGGACAAAGTCGGTGAGCTGCTTTACCAAAAATAAAAGACTGCATGGTGCATCCAGATCTAAGGAACGGGAGGGAGGTGCATGAAACCATATCAAAGCATTCAAGCAAATTCAATGACCGCCAAATAGCAATTTGGGCCGGCTTATGTCTGCTATGTATTTCCGATGTGCAAGCCGCAATTTTTAAAATCGTCTCTCCCTCAAACGCCAGCCACTCCAGGCCTCCGCTAATGGTACAAGGTATCGCCAATTCGTCGTCATACTTCTCATGCTGAAAAGTGTTGGCCTCCCCAGATATGGGATGCAATCACTGTAGGTTCTGTGTACCGCCAACCATCTTTCTCAACTCATACTCTCGGGTGAAGTTCGTCTTGAGAACATTGAATTCATGGACCAAGTCACGGGAACTGGCCAACACAGCTTCTTTGGGGGTGATTCCGCCATCGGTTTGGACTCGGAGTTCGAACTTGGCGAAGAGAGGGTGGGGAACCTGGAGCGAATTCATTATTTCGGTCATCAATGAGGCTGTCGTAGGTGACTTACACGGTAGGCAGCGAAGGTGACGTGGCTGTTCTTCAGAAGCTTGTCACGAAGTAAATTGGCAAGAGTGTGGTCTTCCTTGTTGAAGGTGAAGATGACAGTGTTTGGAGTACCTGCAAGACGAAGTCAGGGGAAAAACGGTGTATATACCTTGAGGTGTACTCACGGGTGTCGATCTTCTCTTCAATCTTTTTTTCATCATCGTCGAGAAGGAAAGCTTCAGTCCTAATACACTTCAGTCAACCGATACACTGAAGACACTCGCATTCGTATCAAGCAGCTATGAGCCAGGCAAGGGTGGTGTTTTGGGGGAGGGAAGGGATGGCCGTGATGAAGGTAGTGGTTGTCCCTGCTAATGTCATCTCTTGCTGTTGCGCACCATTCAATTTTATTGATGGAAGGGTGATCAATAAGGTATGTGTGGAATCGCCGATTGCTTGGATGGTATCTCCAGGCCGTCCCATCTAGAGGTAAGCCATGTGGTCCGGAGCCGGGATATATCGAGCCAGGTTGACGAGATTTTGAACCCGAATTGGAACCTTCTGCGAGCCTCGTGACATCAATGACCAGGTCTGTCATAAGTTTGGCTGCGGATTGTGGGGTTGTTTCAGAATTGTTGTTTCTAGAACATCGAGTAAATATGGCGAATCGTCTCGGTCAAGAGTGGTCCTGGAGATCTGAAAACGGTCTGGAGCAGGCGCGACCTTGGGATTGGAGACTTACTCGGCAGGGTTATTGGCATTGGCATTGTTGACAGCAGAATCCTCACTTCCGATGTATTTCTTGTTTTGGGGGTGATCAGGCCATTTCTGATGTTCAACCAGAAGGAGTGTACCGTCAGATGACCGCCTAGGCCGAATGATAGGCAAATTGGTTGGGGGGTTCTCGTCCCGAGGAATCGGCGCGATGCCTGGTGGGTCCGACATGGTAGCTGACGAGTTCTCAGATGGATGAGGATGTAGCCCACGGCAGATTGATTCGGCCAGGACATTGGTAGCAGGCAAAGTGTTGGTGTTGACAAGAGGCAGAGCGCAGGTCCGGCAGAATATGTACTGCGATTCCACTTCGAGAATGTGGGCAGAGCAGGCAGCTTTTCAGACAAAGATCACGGCGGCCGGCGTTCAAATCTGCAGGGTTTGCAGAGTTTGTGTGCTTCTTTGATGCGTTTTCGGCTCCTTGCAAGTTGTCTTCCGACCGTCCAATACGACCACTCTTACTTCTCTCCTTCTTTCATCCTTCTCTTTCACATCAAAAAGGCACTCCTCCATCCCCGCAACCAGGTACTGAATGAACGCGGGTGTGAAAGAAAAGTCTGTACATACCGATCTGGGGCATTCATCGTGTATAAAGTAAAAAAGAAAAAGTTCCACAGAATTCCAAAACCAAAGGTGAGATATCTTTTTGACCAAACGATTAAGCAAAATCTGGTAAGAGGGTGTCCAAAACGATGATGTATGTCGGTGCAAAGAGACAGAGGAAGGAAAAGACGATGCAAAGAGGAATATAGAGAAGACATCGATGACGGTCGTTCAACATGAATATCGTTCAGGTCCTCAACTCAGAATCTCGCTAACGGGTCACGTGAATTTCCAAAGGACGAGCGGAAGGTCTGCCGAGGAGCAGCATCCGAGGCATTAATTTATCCATCCAGCCAAATGGCGCCCATTTCCATTTCTTCCCAAGGGTCGTTTAAAAGGACCCCGTACGATACTGCTGGACCAGTGGAACCTGCCATTCGCTGCGTTGATCAATCTAGGAATAAATTCGGTGTCGATCTAAAACTCCGATTTAACCCATCCCAGGAATCCGTCCACCCAGCGATGATCAACCCGCGGAGATCTGCAGCTACAAATTTTGGCTGTTCATGAACGAAGCTAATATGAACCAAGCACTGCTTTCCTACTCTTCTTCTATTCCTCGCCTCCTCTGATTCCTTGAGCTCTCTTTCGTGCGGAACAAGAACTTACCTTGATTATGATACCTGCAGCTTTCCTTTGAAAAATGGCACAGAATATCTTCCACAATGACTATCCATGGACATTGCCAGACGCCCCTTTTGTGGTCTCCGCGCCCATGATGAAGATCACACTAGGACGTCTGGCCGTATCCGTATCTGCGAACGGAGGATTTGGATTTCTGGCTGGCGGATTCGACTTGAACCCACTTGCAAAGGATCTCGCGGAAGCAGCAGACTTTGCTCAGTCTAACAACGTACCTCTTCACAACGGGATGCTTCCGATCGGCGTGGGCGTCCAAAATTGGGGCAGTGACTTGCAACTAGCGCTTGACGCCCTGAAAGCACACCCCGTCGCTGCGGTATGGTTCTTTGCTCCGAAGCAGTTGAGCGATCTGCTGGGGTGGGCCAAGGAGATCCGAGCAGCGAGTGACGGCAAGACCAAGATCTGGGTTCAGATTGGCACTGTGGCTGAGGCGATTGAGGTCGCCAAAACCACCAAGCCTGATGTCCTGGTTGTCCAAGGCTCGGATTCGGGCGGTCATGGCCTTTCTCAGCGAGCGAGTCTAATGACTCTTCTGCCAGAGGTTGCTGATACCTTCGCCGCTGAGGGTATTGACATCCCGCTAATCGCGGCTGGGGGTATCATGGACGGCCGAGGTGTGGCAGCCGCATTGACACTCGGCGCACATGGCGTCGCGTTGGGTACGCGGTTTCTCGCTTGCCATGAAGCAGTCATTGCAAGGGGGTACCAGGAGGAAGTTGTGAGAGTGACTGACGGTGGCGTCAGCACTGTCGCGAGCACGATCTACGATGTCGTCAGATGTATCCATGGATGGCCGCCAACCTACGTCGGCAGAGGTGTAGCGAACAGGACCTTTTTTGACGCGGTGCACGGAATGAGTCCGGCGGAGAATATAGAACTGTACAAGGAGGCAACGCAGCAAGGAGATGCCGGTTGGGGTCCCGAAGGTAGAATGACGACGTATGCAGGTACGGGTATCGGGCTGGTAAAGGAGGTCAAATCTGCAGGAGAGATTGTGAAAAGTATCCAAGTTGAGGCCATTCAGGTCCTGCAGAAATCGGCCACGAGGTATGGAAAATGATTGATGTCCCGGATTGGGATCGGTCGAAAAGATTTAGTTTCATTCGAAAATTGACATCCCGCTCAATCTCCTTATCTGCAATACCATGACGAATTGATTGCAATGTGGGACTGCGTTCGGCATACACGCTGTTACGCCGCGTCTGATAACTTCACCAAAAGGTAATACTGCTTGACCTCGGCCTCGTCTCGTCTCTGATTTTCATGCCATATCGTCTCCCGTCATGGATTCAAATTTCGGCTAGTGGCAATCTGTCTTCTTTCTCAGAATTGATCCTCAAGCCATTCAGACCAAAGGTCATGAAGCCGCAGCCACTGGTCCTTCCCCGCCTGGAATCAACTGTTAAGCGAAACATGCCACATTAGTTATGGCGTCATTCATTGGCCCAGCGCGGTCAAACTTTATTCGGGGGAGTGATTATCTCACCATGCAGATGTTGTTCCCATTCAATAGGATTTTAGGTAGTTTCGTTTGTGCGCCCGTATAGTCACTTTTCGACGTGTAAGCCTTGTTGAATGATTCAGATAACAGTGGGAAACCTGAGCTGTGAACCTACAATTCAATCACGTCTTCGAGAACCATGTCTTGTGGAGGTTAAAACATATCAGTACAGTACTTCCTTTCGTACCAAGAATCTCAAGGTCGAAATCCTATATATGTGAGTTCGACTGCAAAGCACTTACTGACGTAGTCGTCGAATCCGAGTAAAGTGCCAGCAAATTCTGTAACGAAGTATTAGTAAGGTTCAAATTCCAAGACGTTTGATTGTTGAATGCTGAGGGCATATCCCAGTGATCATGATCCCGCCGCTGCTCAGCTTGGGTGGCATTACCTTTGTCACCTTTCATGATGATCCAGATCCGGGAGCCAACACATTTGTCGATCAATTCTGCATGCTCAGTCAATTGAAAATTCACCGTGCCTCTCGATCTGGAAACATACCAAGGGGTAACAGTTGCGATGTCATGTTCGTGAAGGAGATGAAAAAGCGTAAAGGGAATACGGAATTTGTGGAAAGAAATGTGGATGGTCTTAGTCCCGATGCGTTGGTCTTTCTGCCAAATACAACCCGGATAGATTCTTCAGTTCTCACATGGTCTCAGTTGCGAGGGTTGGATTTAGTCCGAAGGAGGGGAGAATTGGCGAAACAACACAATACAATATCACTGAACTGGAAGTTCAACCATGGGCTCAGGCCGCATGCCAAGTGGTCACGTGCCATATTGATGATCCTACTCAGTCGGTACATGAGGGATGTACCAATACTTGCAGGCCAAGGTCGATACAATATTAAGATTACATTGTAAGGCAGTGCCATATGTATAACCCGTTGATCTAAGAATGGTATAGTCATTTCTGCCCCGAAGCATATATCATGAACGCCTTGCTTTTGTTTTTGCCATAATCTTACAGTCGTGAACCATCAACTCAAAGCAGACCCCTGAATAACGTCTCTCACATTCAGACCACGGCTCGAAGCCCGTTGATCTGTACTGAGATCATAACTCGTCATTCATGGTAGTTTCATTATAGTGGCCCCTGGGCCAGTCCCATGGATCCCCCCCTGGAACACAAAGGCCCAGTCTCCAGAAGTAGTCGCGATGGGCGAAGAAAAGCTCCCAGAGCTTGTAACGTCGACCGATTCCCCACAGAGATTTGATTTGCGAGTCTCCTTGTTCGTTGTCATAAGCTTGACTAATTTCATGCTTGGTAGAAACGCCTTCGGCAATGCAGGCAGGGTCCTCATCACCCGTACAATGCTGTAGGTCAGCCCGAACTGGCGGTAATGATGGCTTCGAGATGTATATTTCACCAGCATGCATTCGATAACCCCATTCTTCTAGAGGAAGAAGAGGCACCGGATCATCAATATGTGTCACCCTTCGATACAATGACTCTTCTGGATCTGTGGTATTCAGCTTGAAACGCTTGTCGATGAATTTGTTCAGAGCCAGATTCCCAATACGAGGCTCTCCGAAAGTTGTAACGTGAGGAGTCCAACCACGTGCCTGAAACTCGAGTGCTGCTAGAGCCGCAACAGCTCCTCCAAGAGAGTGCCCCACTAAGACCAGCTCGTAATCAGGATAATCACTTAAAGCTTTTTCCACATGTGGCACAATCGTGCAACGGGTATTCCGCCAAGATGTCATGAAGCCTGCGTGAACTGTACAATTCAGACATTCCTTCTCTAGCACCAGTCTCTTTCTTGGCTGCGGGAATAATTGTGGTACGAGCGGCTCCTTATCATTCTGCAGCTCAACAGACGTACACACTGAATCGTTATCGCTCTGGAAAGGGAAAGGAGTGTACTCGGCGGGATTTGTGGAGAGATCGGCAATGGTATTGGCGATTGAATATGTTCCGCGGAAGGCAACTATAACTCGTTTCGCGTAAGGAGGGTGCGACAACGCAATGTATCCGCAAGAATCGGACAGAAGGGGCCCAGTGTTCCATGTAGTGATGAGTTCAAAAGTCTCGAAGTCGCTGCATCGACTCAGACATTTGAAAGGCTTTTGTATTCCGGTGTTGCCGACACAATAAGAGATGTCAACGATCCGAGCTAGCTCCTCAAGAGACTCGAATGTTTTTTGAGAGACTTCTTGGTCGTTTGTTCGCAGGTGCGCTGGAAAAGCTCTCACAATCACTGTCCATGACCATAACCAGAGTGTTATATACAGGTAGAGCATTTGGATGGTACACTCAATCGGCGGTAGGAAGCAATGTGGGCATGCCGAATACCAGGTATGTTGCAAGGGAGAATCCGCAGTGTCAACAAGAAGGGTGAGGATCTGGATGGGTCGGAGACGGTGTTGACGCAAGCGATTCGGGAGATAAACCGGCACATCACCTGACTCAGCATTCGATGACGTCATCATACCACGGATGGATCTTGGCAGGTCAAAGTACAAGGACAGTCCTTCGGAGTTCGAACCGCACCCACGAAATGGCCAAGCAGAACGCTGAGTCAGACTCTACTCCCCGGCGCAGTGTCGTCGACAAGCCGGAACACGGCAGCAGGACCTTGTATTTGGTACAGTGGAAAGCTTACTGTTGGCCAATCACGTGACGCTTTGCCTTGGCAACGTCACGTGAGACAGTTTGGCTTGGCAACTTGCGCTCTCTCAGATAGAACAACCACACTTCCCGAGAGCAATATTGGCGATAAGGATTGGATTACGGCGTCGCTGAAAGCTGTCAAACTTCTTGTGCAGCTTGAATTGAAGGAGTGCTCCGACTCTCCAAATGGGTGTAGGATAGTAGAGCCCATCTATATATCTATCTAAGTAGTGTGCATCAACACTGTTGCCTGTCAATGGTGATATAGCTTATTGGGCGAGTGTTGCGGAATGAGTCGGCCTTGCCGTGAACGGTAGGTCATCACCTGTTCAACAAAAGCCAATAAGAATCCGCACTATCGACGCAGCACGCGACTGGAGAATGGTTCTGACGACAGGAGGAAGAGGTATGACAAAATGATGTTGGTTGTGAGTCTTGAACTATGATAGAGGATCAAAGAGATGGCAGAATCGATGTGTGTTTAGTAGTGAGTTTCTACACAAATTCCCCGTGGGTTCCCCTGCCAATTTTCCGTTGTGAACGTAATTCTGTCTCACCCTTTCACTGTCCCATTTAACGAATAAGATCTGGATATCATATAGAAGCACGCTTTGAACTGTGGCTGTATAATCCTACGCTCGGATTAGCAATCTCTGAGCGCGTTGCGAGCATCGTACGGCTCGATAGCTCGAATTGCGTCTTTAGGAGTTCTCACGGGCAAGCTGCCTGAAATCGTGGCGAGCCCAAGCACAAAGAGTCGATTTGCTATCGAGACAGGTCAGCAAATGGTTTCAACCACCGGGGAGCAGGATCTCCACTTACTCTGCGCACTGGAGAAATCCAAGTACTCGAATCCACGTTCATACCGATACACCTCACGCTTTCCGGTGTTCTCGACTTGTACTAAGAACGTTCGAGAAGTGAAGTTTGGCCTCCTTCCAGGAATACTGAGCGATGAGACGAAGTCTTCTGCTACTATGAAACACATGAGGATCCGTAGCGAAGCGCCTTTGGACGGTGTGACTTACGTTCTTGGCTCAGAATGGAGCAGCCATTCGGACTCACGATGATGAGCCGAAATCGCCCCGTTTCGGTATTTTGGACGATCGTGATATCGGCATCTGAAATTTGGACAACTTCGCTTTGGACCGGACCGGCTTGTCTGCAAGGGGTTGTCGTCAATATCCTTTGGAAAAGTATCAGTTTTCTGTGACTTACAATTTCAACACTATCCTCTCGTCCGGCCTTGGATACTGCAGGCTCATCACAAACAGCTCCATCCGCATTTCCTCGAGCTTCTGGAGAAGCTTGTTTGCGGCTATAGCGACCGTCAGCAAATATTCATGGAAGTCAGGGGTTGTTTATGTGGACGACCTTCTGTACTGTTAAGATGAAGCGTAACGTCCACGCTACTGATATTGATCGTCTCCTTCTTATCATTCGATCCTGTACATCGGACTTTCTGCAAGGTTACACTGTCGTCATTTTCGGTCATCGTCAATTTGTTGCTTCTGTTCCCTACACAACGTCACTTGGCTGATTGCGGTAGTACAAAGGGAGCTTACATTGGATGGTTGTTAGGCTGACATCCGCCCCAGCCTGTGAGTCGTTTTCGCTATAGTGCACGACTAACTCTGCGGTGCTCAAATATGACTCGCTCGAAGTTGCAAGGTCAGAGCTGCGGCTCTGGAGGCTTTCATTCCCAACTGTCTTGTAATGGAGAAGCTGTATGGTCCCGACAGAGGCCCGTGTGTACGAACGAGGTCCGCTTGAAAAAGTGATGCTGTCGACTGATTTGCGAACACCATTCAGGTTCCTGCCAACAAAAGTCAGATCGCTCGACTTGTCCACTACACCCTCACCTTACCCAATCATATGCAGTATATGCGTGTCTTTCGCGTCGGGCATCGAGTACGCAAGCATGGTGCGAAGACCACGTCCAAGCATGGAGTTTGCTCCTTGCCATGCGAGTTCATAGATGAAGGCACCCTCAAACTCCGAAAGAGCTGAACACCACGATCAATTTAGTAGCAAAGTCCAAGTTGAGGCAGCGAACGACAGGTTCAAAAGGCAGTCTTACCATTCAGTGGCACTCTCTTGATGACGAGCGATACCAATCTGTTATTGGTAGCATCTGTTGCTTTATAGAGCATATACGATCTCTCCTTGCCAGTGAGCTTCACCGGAAAGCTCAGGCTCGATACTGTACGGACGCCAGTCAGCCTAGAGAAAATACGGGTATTGGCGCACTTACAGGTAAATGCAGCGATGTTCGCTTGATGTGAGTGTTCTCCTTTGACGCCTTCATTGCAATGACACCGGAACAGGTGTCTCGCTCCTGCTTCTGAGTGCTTGACTTTCCACTTGGGATGCAAGCTTGCCCGGCCGCATATCAATTGGAAATCTTCTCTTCGTCCAGTGTCTACATATAATTCGAAGACAAATTCCTGGAGTGTCACAGGATGACTTTGTTCAAGAGTCAAGCTATTCTCCCTCACAGAATGGCTCCCTGGGGTGGTGCTCTTCAAATTTGCAGAAAACCAGTCGTGGATCTCTTTCAGCATAACAGCAACCTGGTCCACCCGGTCTTCCACTCGACTTGTTTGAGAACTGGCCGCCGTCAGTCGCATCCTGATCAAAAATAACAGAACGATGTGTACGTACTTAATAGCCACACCAAGCATCAGATTGAGACTGTTGGTATGAACAGTAAGCTTGCTCCTCAAAGTTGCCAAATCTCCACCTTCTTTTGTCCAGGACACCTTCATCCAGGTAGATTTCAAGTCCCCTTTCCAGCGTTTGAGGCGCGGTGTCTGAGGATCTGGGGGGTCCACCATGCAGCCGTACTTCCCGACAATTTCCTTGAGATGCTCTAGTGTCTCCTCACAGCTCCGAAGCATCACAGAAATCGTCTCCTCACTGCCCGCTAAGCGAGGCTGAGCATTGGGAGGATCCATATTGACGGTAAATTCGTTCTTAGAAAGGGCATCTTTCAATGCGAACAAGGCTGAACTCAGAGAGTACAATTGATTCTCGACTTCGCGGAATTCGGCTGGAGCAGACTTGCGACCCTTTGTGAATGCTCGTCCTAGCTGCAATGCTAGCTTGGCAGCCAAATATGCGTCGCCAAAGGAGATTGGATTTGCCATGATCTTGAAGGCCCGTAAACAATCAAGTGTGAGATTCGGGACTGGGAGAAATACGTTCGCTGGAGATTGCGTTCCAGTTTCGTCCTTCTGTCGAGCGGGCTCATGAGGCAACGAGTAAGGCTGTGTCGACGCTTTGGGTAGACATTAATGTTAAAGCAGCATCCTGCAGATTTCCTTTTGATATTTTCGACCTCAGTCACTGGTCACGTTGACCGGTCAGCCTGGCCGTCTCGCCCCTTTGCCGCCCCGACGTTCTTTTTGTTTTGCCCAGTCAAAAGGCAACCAATTAGGCAGCAATCAAGAAGGCAACGCCCCGCCGTCCTTGCAACTCAATCATCATTGCCATATGTTTCCGCTCACCTCCCACATTGTCCTCTTGCAGTGACCAAGTCCTCGTGAAGTCGTCTCGATGGACGGGAATATTATTGCCGGCATTGTATGGGATTCTCGAGAACCTCTTCCGTTAGACTTGGTCCAAGAATTTCGACCAGAAATTGACCACGAATCTTCGGACGGAGCCTCAGAAATCTCTCTGCCTGACGGTAAACATGGTCATGTTCATCGCGGAAGAGACTGTGTCCTCCGAGAACCTGATCGGAATATTCTTCTCCCATTATCGACCTCTCTGACGGCTAGAGTTATAGATGACGCGGCACAAGTAACGATCACCCAGCTTTTCTTCAACGATTCCAATGCTCCTATTCCCAGAGGGTCATACACATTTCCTCTCCCAAACGGTTGCACGGTCATTGAGTTCAGCTGCCGAGTTGGTCGCAATAAGATTATAAGAGCCAAAGTGAAGCCTAAGCAGGAGGCTCGGGAGGACTTTGATCGTGCCTCTCGGAACAATCAAACTGCAGGGCTCATGGAGCAGGACACTCCAGAGATCTTCACCACAACTCTTGGGAACATTCGACCAAATACCAAATTGAAGGCAGAGATTTCGTTTGTGACCTTTCTGAAGCACATGTTCCGAGACCGGAGTAGCACTGCCACTCTCACGATACCGGCTTATGTGGCGAGTCGCTACGGCAGGCCTCCCCCGGGACTCACTTGTCCATCGTCCAACGGACTCCTCAAAGGATTCTCAGTCCACATTGAGGTAGTTGACCCCGAGGGAATTCAGACCATCACAAGTAAAACTCATGAAATCGAAGTTGAAGGCGGAGTGGGCAGGCAAGAGTTCGAAAACTGGGAGGAGTTCGCAGCGGCAGTTGGCACTGACGATCTTCCCGTTTCGATTGTAAGCTTCAAGAGAGGACCGACTTTCCTCGACAAAGACTTTGTCCTCGACATTGCAACCCGGCCGCAGGATGGGCTGGAAGCTCCACATGCCTGGCTTGAAACTCACCCATCGCTTCAGAATCACAAGGCAATAATGCTCACGTTACCCCCAAGCCTCATGCTCAGAAACGAGTCTTTAAACGAGGATGGGGAGATATTATTTGTGGCTGACCGATCGGGATCCATGTGTGACAAGATCGAGTCTCTAAAGTCGGCCATGGCGTTCTTCCTCAAAGGCATCCCGGCGGGCCGAAAGTTCAATATTTGGTGTTTTGGCACGGGTCAGCAATATCTATGGCCCAGATCCCAAAATTACTCGAATGGGACTCTCCACGCCGCTCTTGCGTTTGTCAAGACACGATTCAGAGCCGATATGGGCGGAACGGAACTTCTCCGAGCATTGCGATCCATTATAAAATCAAGAGACCCATCTCGAATGACGGACATTATCATTCTTACTGATGGGGAGGTCTGGCGGCTTGACGACACAATCAACTATGTGCGAGATACCCGCATCGCTACTGAGGCTAGGGTCAGATTCTTCTCTCTGGGTGTGGGCAGCGCAGTCTCGCATGCCTTGGTTGAAGGCATAGCCAAAGCAGGCGGAGGTTATGCAGAGGTAATCCCGGCTGCCAGCAAAGGAGGATGGGAAGACAGAGTAGTCGCAGTGCTGAAAGCTGCATTGACCGGCCATGTCGGTCCACTTAGAATTGAGTTTGATGATGACTCGCAAGTTGGAATTCCTGACGAGCAATTTCCCAAAGGTGAAAACTTTAGAATGCTTCAGAGTGAGGGGTGGTCGCTGATAGGTTTTAGGTCCGATGTTTCCCACAAAGCCACCATTTCTGCAGTCCCCAGCGGATATATCGTCTCTAAGCCCTTTCCTGCGTAACAGAGTCTTCATGTTATTTGGTCCGCTTACCCCTACCACTCCATTGAGCCATATCAACATTAGATCCACCAGACCCGATGGCCCGGAAATCGTTACTCGAGTTGCTGTCAAAACACTCCACAGGAAAGAGATCTCTATCCACAAGCTAGGCGCTAGGGCGATTCTCGGTGATCTTGAAAGAGGAGAAAGCTGGATTCACCTTTCCCCGTATCGGCCGGTTCGACATTCGGCAGAAGAACGAAGACTGGAGCGTCAGGAAGGAGAAGAACTTGGATGTAAATGGTCACTCGTTTCAAAATGGACAAGCTTCTTCGCTGTTGAAGAGATGTATGAAGATTGTGGAGATGTGCATGACGAGTTTATGGACGTGAAAGAGGCGGACGAAGATCTGGATCTTCTACGACCATGGGGAGTATCCGGCCGGTGGGCTGACGGTCCGAACCCGGCTTTGCCAAGCAATGATGCTGAAGACCCGGAAAATGATTCCAATGACGACGAAGATACTCCACCAGTCTCTGACTTCGCTGAGAGACGAGATGACAGCAGCAATGATAGCGATGACGAGGACTGGGATGACAATGGAAGTGGAGGTGGTGTTGCAGTCAGTCCTAACAGCACCGGCCAGCGAAATGGACAGCTGCGAGCTCCCGAAGGCGACCAAGCACCAGATCCCGGAACCCACCACATCGAAGAGCAAGATGGTAGCAGCAGGCAGGGTAGCTCCTCGGCCGGTCGATCAAATCAAAGACCAGCTGGCGGGCAAGTATCTGACTTTGCATCCACAGCAACAGCCCCTGCGACCCATGAGATTGTCTATCGTGGTCCTCAAATACAGGCTCCTCCTATGAATTATCCTCCGGGGCCACAATATCAGACTGGTGTGAACTACAGTAGAGCAGGCCCAGCCCCAAGACTCTCGTCAGCTTCCAGGCTTGTGGGCAGCAGGGTTGGCAGGATGAGTCCTTTCGCAATGGGAGGCCCACGCTCCCCTATGTTCAGCCAAGGTCTAAGCCACCCCGACATTAGCGGAGCTCAGGCTCTGTTTAGGAGAACAAAGTGTGATGATTCAGCAGAAGCTCTACCTCAGCAGCTGCCATCGGTTCTACCGTATCCGCCGCATGGACTAGATGCTACATCACTGACATTCCTACAAACTGATTCTATCATAGTCTCAAATTCATCTAGCATCTCTCCGCAGTTTCAAAGCGCCTCCTTCTCACGGGCCTTACCGCCGCTGGGCCTGTCTTCAACCAGGCAAGACAAATCCAAATCACTACATTCCGCTCCTTCTCATACCACTCCTCTACCCATTGAGCGAGAACGAAAGCCTTACATGACCAACCCAGATAGCGGAAAGACCTGCGAGGACGTGAGCATGTCCTCTTCATCAATTGACGCAGAATCAACGGAGCGGGATTTATACTTTGGCTTCGAAAATGCCTACGAAAGAATTAGAGAATCCTCTTCGATGGGCCGTACGTCGACTTCGGCTGTGCCATCGCCGTACGAGTCTATGTCCGTCTCAACCACTATCACCGCTCCCACGTTCAATATTCCGGCTTCAGGGGCGCTGATATATGACTCGAGCGGCAAGTTCAAAATCAGCGAGGACCTGAAGAAAGAGCAGATCGTCCGACAGCTTCAATCTTATCAGGGGTTTGACGGTCGCTTCGTTTGCGCAGATTCCGAAATCAGGGCGCTTTTCGGGGAAGAATTTTCTCGGATTGCCCGCGATCTGTCACGGCAACATCCACAATTTGGCTACGATCTGGTCTTGCATATGGCTATAGTGGCCTTCCTCCGTCTCAAATTCGAGTCTTGTCAAGCTCTGTGGACTCTATTGTCGGCAAAAACCGAACAGTATATCAACAAAAGCTTCTTATTCCGGGGAATAGTGGAGGCTAGCCGGGACAGGGTACTTGAAGATATCAAAAATCGCTTGCACAGGGTACCAGTACTAATTGAAACCCCTAAAACCATTGAGATGAGCCCAACAGACTCTAGCGGCTTAATTTCAGCTGAAGCAAATGTTTCGGGAGGGCTTGAACAGCATCGTAGTCCAATTATTTTGGACCGACCCAGGAGATCCTCTTCAGTGTTTCGGTCACCGTCACACTCTCGGGATCGACCAGCATCACCACCTGGACGAGCCCGCCCCAGCTTAGGACCTCCCCGCCGAGAATCTCCAGCATCTCGACCGAGAAACCGATCGCCCCACTATCCAACTCGAGAGGGCCGCAAAAGACGCAGAAACTCGATCTCTCTCTCTCCATCCCGTAATAGCGCGGATACGAGAGGCAGGGAAGCAGTACATGTTTCCCAACCCTATGTATCAGCATCGTACGCGACATACTCACCATACTCGACCTCCGCATATCAGTCATCTAGCCAGTCTCCAATTAATGCTTACATGTCTGTGCCACCTATCTCATCAGAGCAGCCATACTTCTCTACATCTCAATATCCAACATATCCCAGCGCCTCTTCACTATATCCGCAACCTTCATTATCTTCGCCGGTCTACTGCCAACCACCGCCAATCACCTCGTACCCACCCATAGCAAGTGAGCCGCCCTCATCTTCGTACACGAGGGCGACTACCCCCCCGACAAAGTCAAAGGAAACAATACAATGGCCGGATTATGGATACCCTAGGAGGGACATGCCCTCGAAGGGGCCGGTGTATAACTATGCAAAGGCGACGTCAGAGACGCCAGTGGCATATGGTGCCAGATCGGACGCGGGAGCAGAAAGGGTTGTGCTGGAGCGTGCGCCATTTTCTTGATCAAGTTTCAAAATTCTCGGGAAGGAGAGACGGTATGTAGCCCTTTTGCGCAATCAATACTACGATATATTTATTGCTATATAAAGTCGAAGAAAGGGGAATTCCCGGTCTCTTACTTCTGCAAGAAGTCGTCTTCTTGGGCACTGAGATTCCTAGTGGCTCTGCATCCACCGACAAGCACCTGGGTGCAGTTCTTACAACAGTTGTTCAGGCAATTGTGAATTACAAAACGCACCCAAATGTCCAGGAGAGTGAAAAGGATCCGGGTTTGATAGACGACTTCGGATGGACAGTTGCTCTACACAGTGGCTAAAGAAGGTTACGCGCCAGTGGTGAGCAAATTGCGCGGATATTACTTGATGCTATGTTCCTATTCTTCAATCCCTCTTTCTCGGGCCCTAGCACTATCAGTAGCGGTGGTTAGCAGGAAAATCCAAAGTGCAGCCAGAAGAGTGATTCGAAACTGGTTTAGATGAGTGATTTAGCAATCAGCATGGGACTAGCCCCGTGCTCCCAACTCTGCTCTTTACGAGCCGGCCACGAGCCGTGAGCTCAAAGCTTGGTACACGGCAGTCTCGATTTTATCTCACATGTCCTCTCATTCTTGTTATTCTACCAGATTTTGTGTTCACCATCAAAAGAGTCTTGTTCGTCCATGTGGTCTACTGTAAAGTTGCCTCTAACGTTAGTATCAGGATTCTGCTTTGGGGTTCTTGAAAGCGGCTTCAGCACAGCTGCTGCAATGTGTCCGCGGACAATTGCTCAATTCACCGAGACACCTCTGAGCTTGCAGACGATCTTCTGACCTTCATCGAATCTCTTTGGGCACTTGCAAGGAACATTGGACTGCCTTTATTCCACCCTTCCCTTTATCTTTTGTTTCCCTGCCTCGCGTGCTCGAGCCATCCTGTCCTCTCGGGCGCCTCTCAGCTTCGATTTTCTGTTGCAGGACCCAGGAGGTCTGCCTTTAGGTCGCTTCTGTGGCTGGCCTTCCTGCGGTTCAGGGTTCATTGCCGACGACAAAGTCGGGCTATCGTCCATCAAAGGAGAATAGATCTTCCCCCAAGCCCACCAGTCAGCCGGCAAGGGTGGGGATCTCTATGGTTATATGCCAATCTCTGAATTAGTCAGTTCCAATGTTTCCCGTTCTACTCAACGTCCTGAACGTTTTACCGACACCGATCCTTGGAGAGCTGGAGTCGTTATCGTCGGTCCAAAAGAATCAACTCGACCATGCGATCCTTAACGGCCAACTATGTGCCATATCCTTTGCCATGTCGCCGAGTGGGGACCCTCGCCGTGACGGCGAAGGACCTCTTCGCTGAAGCGGACCACGGTCATGTGTATGTTGGCAATCAGAGCATGCTGGTCTTTCCAGCGTGCAAGCTCCACTGCTGGAACTTTGACATTATCTGGAGCAGCAGAAGCACCTCGTTAAACCTACCCCTTTCGGATTCAGCCTTGTCCTGCCGGCGCTTAAAAGGCCTCCCTCTTCGGGACAAACTTCTCTACACTCTGGGTGTGGAGACCATAGGATAGACGAGCACGTGACAGAGCTAGTTCCCAATAGGCCTAGCGGCCTGCACGGGTGTAGGAATAATCAATCAATCAATCAATCAAAAACTTCTCTACAGCTCTGGTTTCAGCTCTATTTTCAGGTGAGTTAATCTACGTAAAACATAGAGCCAGAAGGCAGACTCGCTGCGCCGCAGTTGTTACTGTTGCCGCCGACCTCTTTGAAGCTTTGCGTGCTGGCGAACTCAAGGGGTTGATGTCATGCAAGAAGATGGGTCATTTGAGCCCCAGTCAATGTGTCTCGTTCCTTTCCTTCACACATCTCAGTTAACTGTACAGATTGAACTGGTTTGTCAACCAAATGGGTTCTTTTCGTTCCATATCTCAAAATTTGACTACTTCCCCTGAGTCGTGCTCTACGAACGATGTCTCCCCGGACACCGAAGGCTGACGAAACTTGGCCAAACGTGTCCACGTGCATTGATCCCGTAGGTCCGGATAATGAACCTCCTCCAACATACTGCGATAATAATGCTTTCCAGTCCGAAATCGTTATTCCACCTCACTCGACCTCAATTGACTATGCAGCTTACCGCATCTCCGAGAGTGTTGTTTCCGATGATCAAACCAATCGCTATGTTATTGGCCCTGGGCCGGGAGAACAACTATCACCACCTCCGCGACTGATAGTTAGAATTCGGGGAACGCACATTGACAAGGTATACTCCTGGGGAACGACGAGAACAGACTTTGATTTTACCCTGGACATCACTCCACTCGTCATGCCCACAGCCACTCGGTCTCACAAGCCAGAAAATTCTGGACAGAGATAGTTTCTCAGACAATGAAGCACTTCAGTATTGGGTACAACAATTCTGCGAAGGTCAGGAAGAATGGTGCGCTCCGACTCACCGGTGTGGTTTCCTCGAATTGATATGCTAATGATGGTCACTAGTCTACAACTTCAGCGCATCGTTACGAACTGGGATACTTCATTCTTGGAGACATCCATCCGGGATCTCGTTGTCACAGCAAGATGCAAAGGGTGCCTCGAAGTCACTTTTCCTCTGCATCATTCTAAACTTACTATCTTGAAACCTGGCTCCGCCGCAATTTCTTCAAAGCCTGTCTCGTGGAGCTGTTTTTCTCACTTTGCAAAATCCATCACCCCTTCTTCTAAATTGCTAGGGCAAGGACAGTCTACATGCTCCCATTTCCAGACGATCTGGCCTTACGCCAGCTCACCACCCTCCTCAACGATCCCAATCTCCATCTTGCCCTCACTGCTACCACCACGACAATGCGCCGTGCAAAGTGAGACCTCCTGGTTCAACACCTGGAAAGAACCCATCCGCAACAGCATTGTGGCCAAAAGACGAGGCTGGATAACGATCGAGGACTGGAAAGACGTGTACATGAGCAATGTACACTGGCCTCAGCCGGGTAGGGACTGGGGCACTCCGGCCGAAGACTGGGTCACGCTGATGAAAGGAATCACATTGGCGGGATCAAGCAAGGTTGCGCCTGGAGATATTGTTTGGTGGAAGTACTTGGGTGGAAAGGTGATTAAGAACAGTTATTCCAACGTGTCGGAAGCTTCTATCAAAGGATCCCGACATCGGGTGTTGTGGTTGCAACTGATGCGCCAGATAAGGTAGATAGATGTATGGGCGTTATATTCTCGGCTTGTAGGAGAAGTAAATGAAAGAAGGGTTGGTAGTCTGGAAAATTTCTGGGGAATCCCAAAGCGAAAAGCTCAATCTTGATCACGCCCTCTCGGACTTCCAGGTTGCTGCCACGAGAGTGAAAATGCATTTGAGCCAAGTCCTGACCGAACCACCCCCCGGGGACATGGGCGGGGACAGGGATGTGACTGCACAAAAAGTCAGCGAAAAGCGATCCAACGCTGGGAGCCCCAAAAAGGGGGAGGGGGAGAGGGAAGAGGGTTCGCCAACTTTCCTACGGAGAGGTTCAGAATTTCGTCAGTGAAATGCCTCCCAGTCCCACATCGAGTCCCATCTCACCCTTTCTTTCATATCGACAGCTTTGAAAATTTGCGAAGTCTGGTTAGGCTAGTTGTAACGTGAGCATGTACCTCAATTCAAGAAGGGAAGGCTGGAGGGCTGGAAAGCATGGGCGGGCTAGTCCAATGTGACTAACAAAGAGGTACCGGCGAAGCGAAAGAGAAGAATTGAGAGTTCATGTTTTAAGAAGGTGAATTAATTCATTCAATGTCGCCGATTTGAATTATATCGATCGACTGATGGCACCCTCTATCGACGATGGACATGAACTATCATAGTTCAGTGCCGCCGTCGCCGTCGCTTTCAGAATTGCTCATGTCATCATGATCTTCGTCTTCGTCGTCGAACTTTTCAAAATCGTCCATAGGGTATTCATCGCTTTGCTCTTCTGCGTCACCAGCGGATATACCTTTTTCTCCTTCCCCTTCACGATTTACTTCTTCTTGACTCTGGACAGTCTCGGCTTTTCTTTTCCCAGGTATCTCGCCAAGTCGACCTTCTCTTCCCTCGACGGCTTCCGCAGAAGCATCGGAATCTGCTGCTTCCACGCCTTCTTTCTTCGGTGGAGGCGTGAACCAGGGAATCTTGCCCCTCAAGAAATCATTTAGGACCATCTTGGCAACACCATCGACGTCCGGTTCCCCACCCTTCAGTAACCTCCCACCTTTACGAGCCAGAATACCGAGGAACTCCAACGGATCGTCGTTATAATCTTCCGCTTTGATTTCATACGTCCTTTCGATGTGACGGGTCTGTGTCCGTCGTAAAACGGCTTCGACATATTGGGCGGGATGCTCCACGTTTTCAACTCGAACAACTCCTCGTAGAAGGATGTCTTCTTCCGTGCCACCTTGACTCGGTGGGACTACTCCAGGGCAATCAATAAGATATATCCGTTTCATTAAAGTGATGTACTGCCAGACTTTGGTCTCGCCCGGAATGGGTGCGACATTGCAGACTCGTTTCTTTCGTAAAGTGTTGATGATCGAGGACTTGCCGGTATTCGGATACCCGATGAATCCTACCGAAATCTGTTTTCGTGATGAATGTAGAGTTGAGAATTGTCGTAACAGCGTGATTAGGGAACCCTTTCCAAAGGAATTCGTCATGGACGCGTGAAACGCCAGTGTAGGGTATTCCTTCGAGAGCAATCGGACCCATTGAGCCTGAAAATAGAAGGATAACATTAGTATGTGTGAGACATTACTAAGAGACGTGCTATGATATGAAAGCCAATAAGTTTTGGCAAAGCAAACCTCAACTCAGACGAAACACGCCGTGCGCTCTGGAGACGAAGCTTCCAAGACGGATGCAATGTCGGTAACCACCTCAAAATAAGACGGCGAGCGCTGCTTAATGTACCAAAGCTGTAACAGGCGACTTTCATGGAGGAATTTGCGAATGCAGAAAGGAGCCTTGACTTAGCAATGGAAAAACCCAGGGAAGGGCTGAACCAACGGATGCAGCAGGGCTGAAAACTCACCGTTATGCTGGTGGGCACCAAGTCGCATTTGTTCAGGACAAATACCAAATGCTTATGCGGCGTCTCTTCCCGAATGTATTTCTCGACACTCCGACATCTTGTACCTTCAGGATCTCGGGCGTCCAACACATGGATAACGACGTCCGAAGAATCAATGACCTTATATAATTCATTCCATATCCGTTTGCTCTGGCCCTTGGAGAAAATTGGTTCTCGTGCAGTGGTGAGTTCTCCTTCTTGCGGTCCTTGCAATTGTTCAGCCGTTTGTCCACCCAACAACTTGTTCTCTTCCAGACGTTCTAAATAGTTGTCGTGCATCTTGACTGACTCGTCGGCCAGATCAGCCATAGAACTCGCACTCAACTTTACCCGCTTGCGTTGAGATTTCGGCCCAAAGGTGTCGGCAAACGGTTCAGATTCCACAGCAATCTTAGCCTGGTGTTGTTTGATTCCATTCTTTGTGTTCTCTGAGTCCCGAATCAAACTCATGGGCAGCTTATTTGTCTTGAGCAAGACCTGATATGGATCCGCGGCTCGCTCCGCCACAGCTTGTCTGAATGAGTCCAACGCATCTTGCGAAATAACTCGAGTATTTCCAAACCATTTCCGATTCGGCTCGACTCGTGCTTTGGGGATTTCTCGGGACTGGTACGAGGCAGCCCTCGTAATTTTTCCTTCGGAATTTCTTTGCGCTTTGCCATCTTTCAGCATGTTCAGTGTCCGAAGCTTTTTGGCATCTCTGCATTATCATTAGCCTTAAGAATCAAAGATTAGCCTCCCCTAGAGCGTACCGGTAGAAATTCTCGCCCTTGACTTTGACATTTGTCATGCCGTCCGTTGCGACGCCCTGCCGCTCGCGGCGGGATACCTCCTTCTTTCGAGCTCCCATATTGAAAATCGATGAGGAGGGAGGAAAAGCGAGCAATCTCCCCTTAATAGTCACGCAAAGAGGGCCCCAAGAAGATACGAGCGGCTGGCCAAAGTTCGTTTCCGTTGGCTCGAAAAAAAGTTGTTGCAGTGCCAAGGAAAGTAAAAGCGGCTCCGAGATTGATCCGTTTCGGGAACAAGTGACGCCGCCGCACCGCCTTCCAAGGTACAACATATATGGGGTACTTAGTTGTCAAGCCCTTCTGCGATATTCGCGACGGATACGGAGTCTCCAGTAGTCCAGATGTTGAAGAAATTGCCGTTGACAAACACACCGCGGTGGTCTTGCTTTTCGAGACGAATTCTTGCATCGCAAGGGGCCTTCTTTGAATTGTGCAGAAAGTAAACGCTAAGAGACGGACAATCCAGAGTGGACAAAGTCTCTAAACAACAATGAGTGCTATCTCCATGAGCTTGTACCGATCTAAGTTGGACGGCTCTCAAACGTCATGGTCTTTCTCATCTAAGCTTCAACACAACCATATGTTCACTTGAATCGAGCCGACCCTTACATTCCAGCCTCTGGTCCGTGATACTTCAACATCCGCCCCTCAGCGGAAACTGGTCAATATCAGGCGTAACCTCATGTCGCCATTCCGTTTCGTCAAGTCTTGCTGGTTCAACAATGTCTCGGAGCGGGATCGAGAAATTTTTCCTTTTTTCCTGCAACCCTCTGACTTCCCTTCACTTAAACGATACCAACAGGTCAATTCTTTGAGGAACGTCCCAGTCTAGGTGAACAAGGAAATAGTGGATCGCGCGATTTTGGACCAGACGGCTCAAACTTATGGTCGGTCTAAAGCTTGATATCGTGGTCAGTGAGCTCCCGAATGAGAGGTACTCATCGACTTCACATGGTTCGACAGAATATGGCCATGTACTGATGCCTTGCTTGAACGAGGTGAAGAGGCCTTGATGGAAGTATAGCATACGAGGGTACATGAGAATCACAGTTCTGAGCCCAAGGAAGGAATGGAAGGGCGGAAGTACACCATTGGTGACGATATCATGACTATGTATATTAGTTTCAGATGTCGGGGGGGTTGAAACGGTCCCACGTCAATCAACTATAGTTTTGAAAGTCCAAAAACCCCATTTTACTCATCCTGGGCGTGGATGAATAGGAGAGGTTGATCTCCACTGTTGACGATTTTCAGGTCATAAGTTGGCCTGCAGAGGGGCTTCTGCGGAATCTGGCCCGGCCGAACTCCTAGGCTGCTTGCTGAAGAAGATTGCACCTTTGATCATGACTTCGGATAGAACGTCTTCCTCCATAATCCATTCCATCCTTTTTCTCAACGCTTCCGGGTTGAAGTCGGTGGTAAAAGAGTCTGGTAGGTCAGCTGAGGCAAGCAATCCGGCCTCGTAACTTGTCCTAGTAACCTTGTCGGTTCGAGGCTTGCGAATATCTTGGTAGAAGCGAAACGCCGCTTCCAAATCGTCGGAAGCCCAGCTCCGCAGGATGGTAGCAAGGGCAATACCAGATTCAATTGCCATACAAGTTCCTTGGCCTAAGGGATTGTTAGAACAACCCCAAAATAGAGGAGTCTGGGTCACACACCTTGGTGAGGGAGTGTCGAATGAACAGAATCCCCAACCAACACGATCCCGCATGAAGAGTTGGACTCCTCAATGTGATACCACTTGTCGATAGGATCACGCACATATAGAGTCTGCTTCAACATTGTTCCGTCTGGAGAATACGCGTGCAGTCCGGCAATCAGTTCTTGAATGGGAGATGCCCAGTCTCGGACATGTGCATGAAGGTCGTCAATAGGAGCCGAAGCCAACCAACTTTCCGACGTCCAAGAGTCCAATGATTCAGTCATAAAACCAATCACCCCAATACGAGCCGTCTTAGAGTCGTCATTTCCGATTGGTAGGGTCAGAATGTGCTTCTTGTGACCACGAAAAACGACAGTCTTCCTAAAAATGTCCGCCGCCTCCTTCGAGAGATCTTCGTAGCGAACATAACCCCGGTACACCATCTGACCTGAATATTTGGGGCTATCCATGATGCCTAGATGTTGTCTCACAACAGATTTAATTCCGTCACAGCCGATGACGATGTCCGCACTGGCGGCAGTATTGTCCTCAAAATCGAGGACATACTGGGAGCCGTTGAATTGAATCCATCTGAGTCTCTTGCCCGTGTGTAACATTGAGGCGGGAAGACGTTCTTTGAGAACATCCAGCAAGTGTGCTCGATGGATTTGCCGCGATGCCGGCTCGCCGAATTCCTCAATTTGTCCCAAATACTCTCCTGTTTTGTAGTTGCGATATTCCATATAGCAGGGAGGATTTCGGGAGGACTTCCATGTCATGGACTCTTTAAGGCCGTATGCGTCCAGAATGCGATTTGCATTCTTTGTGATATTGACACCAGCACCAACCTCGGTGAACTTCGGAGCCTGTTCGTAGAGGCTGATGTTATGCAAATCCACATGGACGGCAGCATTTGCAAACGACATTCCACCTAAACCGCCACCAATGATCGCAATCTTCTTGTCTTCGAAGCCCATTCTGGCGATGACTGGTAAGTAAACACTGGCTATTCAGCCCGTTTGGCCTAGAGAATCCACGTGGCAGTTTGAGTGCGACAAGAGTGGGAGTATTCATCAACACAATGCAAAAAAATGGTCTGGTTCAAAAGAATACAATCCTTACCATTCGACATTGGTTGCATTCCATCTCAAAAGAGGCTAGTGAGTGACAATGCTCGTAATGCGGTGTGCTCCGGGCCGCGAACGGCCCCACTTTTGTGCCATAATTCATACGTTCTACGGAGCTGAATTGAAAAAACAACATGACAGAGGTTGTCTGCGGATGAACACGTAAGGAAATTAAGCAAAAAGCGTTTGTGAAAAGCGCAGAGGAAAAAGTGGATTCGGGGAGAGACGTTGAGTGGGATCGAAGAACATATCTGTCATGCCGGAGCTGAGCGCAAGGTTACTGATGAGATCCTTTAGATTTCGGCCGTAGGTCGAGCTAAAACTGCGCCGATGACCGAGATGGGCCTTTTCATATTTCCTACTTCAAGGAATTGGAATCCCGAGGGCGGCCCCGGGCGCATGCCAGCCATGGGGACGCCACCCAATACTTCCTGCGCCAGAAGAGTACTCTCGTGCGCGCGGTGTAGGAAACGCAAGATCAAGGTATGATGCGTATATCGCTTTGGTTTTCTCCGACTCATCAAGACAGTGCGACCGTCGTTTGCCAGTTTGTACTCAATGTGAGACCACGAACCACCAGTGCACGGGTGTCAGCACCATTGACAGTAATGCTCATGTACCACGAAGCCTGGTTCAGTTCTTGGAGTCCCAAATTGCTCAATGGGAAATTGAAATCCAAGCTCATAAAGAGAATGACCTTGTCGATAGCCATGATGCACTCCCTCGGGGAGTCGAAGATCCATGGGCATGGTCGTCCGCAGCCGCCGGATCGTACGAAGAATTGAGTCAACCACATCCCCAAGATGACCTCGAATCAAATATCATTCGCAGCTCGGAATTTCGCTCCATGATAGGAGCAACCATGCCAACTGATCCGGCGTTGACCGACCTTGTGTCTCGTGTTCGTATGGGATTGACACCATCAGCTGTGCTTCCATCCGTCACAGGCCAAAGCCCTGAATCTCGTCGTGTCCCTGTTCCGGCCAGCTCGGGAGACGAAAGTGTTGATGTATCGACACTCTCAACTCTACCTGAACATGTCTTGCATACTTTGGTTCGGAAATATATTCGTCACATATTTCCAATCTCCCCAGTCATGTCTCAGGTCGAAATCAATCAAAATCTCGATCTGGTCCTGGCAACCATGCGCGAATTGAGGACCAAGACAACCGCGAAGAGAGTGAGACCTTCCTTTCACTTCCTCGCCATATACTTGATACTTGCAATCTCCTCGACACTTGGATGTGCTAAAACTCAGCATGAGTCCCGCTGCCTTGCCTTCTCTGAGGTTCTATTTCAAGAAGCGATCTCGCACCTGTCAACAAGCCTGTCGTACCCGACAGATCTCGCCAGTCTTCAGGCAACTTTATTGATCCTTCAATACGCCGAAATTAATCCGAAATGTGCTAACATCTGGATCTTGAATGGAGCGTCCATGAGATGCTGCCTTGAACTCGGCCTTCACAGGGAACCGGTTCGATCAGTTGAGCTTGATAGAGACACAATCGAACTTAGGAGAAGACTGTTTTGGGCGGCATATTGTATGGATCGGACCATATCGCCAGCCGTTCAACGACCGTTGTACATTCCAGACGCAATCATCAATGCAAATTTTCCTCAAGGAGCATCCGAATCCCCCGAGGAATCGTCGATTCCACCAAAACAAGTCACATTGGACTGGACCAGATACTGCAGGATTCAATCAGAGATTACAGAGGTTCATTTCCAAGAAAAGCCGTTAGATCGGGACTGGCAAGATTGGCTCGCTCGAGTGGAGGGAATGTTACGCCGTTGGTATCGTGACAACCAATCCGTCGATAATGCAGTCGAATTTGCTTATGCTCATGGACTCGCTCGCATTCATCGACCTTCGCCACGAAATCCAATGCCGTCCCCGGAGAGCCTAGTGACGGCGTTCGAGGCCGCTTGCAGATCTGCGCGACACAACCGAGAATCTATTCTGAATGGTTTCCTGCGAAAGCCGTGGTTGGCCGCCCAAAATACCGCCGAAAGTGCCATGGTTGCAATCTTTTGTCTACGACATGCCTTCGAGGGGATTGTTACCAGATACACCGCCGAGGAAATTTTTGAAAAGACCAAAATATTCACATCAAATTTGTTGGCTCTAGCAGCTCATGGATGGCCAGAAATCTCCACCTTTGCGGCGAGCTTTGAACGTCTTCTGGCGCCTTTGATCACTGGTGTTTTGATGAAGATGTCAACGCAATCGCTCATTTATCCGCCCGCTCTCGATGCGGAGCTGAACAAGTTCCTGCTTCCTACGTCAACCTACAATGAAACTTACTTCGGGATCGGATTTTCGACAAATTTACCAGATCTGGGCAACATGGGTGGCATCACTAACGATAATCTGAACTGGGACGAGGCCTTCTTGGAGACTCTGGCTAGCAATACTGACAAATACAGCTGGGGGGATTTTAGCAAACCAGATGACCTATTAGTGTCATTCACATAACTCGTGCAAAAGAAGAGAATTTTCCTTGAGCTACCAGAGAGCCGAGTAGCTGGAATTCGGGGATGAAAAGAAAAAAAGGGATCGACAGGATCTCATCAAGAAGGTTTCCCTAACTTATGCCCGATGTTTGAATACTTTGATAGCGAAACATCCCAAAAAGTCGATGAAATGGCTGGTTGAATGTGATCTGGGAGCCCTGGTGGTAGTCTCAGAAGCGACAATGGGTAATACATTCAACGCAGGCAGCTGTCAGATTGCCGGACCGTCCGAATTATCGGTAAATTCAGGTAGTTTTGCTTATCGTCCAATCCAAATACATTTCATTCGTTAATATTACGGGAAGTGGGGTTAACAGATGGTGGATTATGCACCACGGGAGGGGATATGGTCCCCGATCTTTCCCAAACTTCGCATCCTTCCAGAAATCCAACTTGATAAATTGTTTTGTCTTGGAATTTCTAAAATACCATATCCTCGAGTCAGTCTCATGTCAGCATTAGACTCTCTACTGTCCAGCGACTCCGCCTTTCTCCAAGATATCTCGAAGGCTTTGAGGACTCTTCCAAGTTGCCAAAGATGCCAGAAAGGTCGGCGGCGATGTGATACTCTCCTTCCCTCTTGTGGTCGATGCAAAAGGGCAAATGAAGAATGCCTCTTCTACGACCATGCCCTCAAGCAAGTGCTGCCCAGAAGGTAATCCAATTCAACTCCAGTCCAGGTCTCCAGCACTGACGTTGTCAGCTATGTTTATTCTCTCCTCAGAAGCGCGGAAAAGTTGCAGCGGCAAATATCTGAATGTCACCAAACTGGAACAATACAATGCAGAACAACCAATTCGCCTTCTTTCCAGATGGGAATCGAACAAATAGATGGTCCGGAACCAGCCCGAAACATCAAGATTCCTAAAGGATTCAGAGAAAGTGGATTTCATTTTCCGGTTACAACTCCTCAAGGACCAACTCTTCGCTATTTCGGTGCTAGCTCGGCCTTTTCACTCGCCGTCTTCATCGTGGCCAAGGTCCGCAATGACCCGAGATTTTCTCTTCCCAAAATTGGCAGTCATATCACTACCGATATGGAGCCGGCCGACTTCCATGGCAGCTGCAATTGCACAATAACCAAGTCTATGGTAGAACGGTCCGTGGAGCTGTACATGAGATCCATCCACATTTTATATCCCTGCTTGGACGAACAGGCCATTGGGCTGGATTTGGAAGCCTACTGGGACATTCAAAGCAACGACATTGACCCTGGCACCCTCAAAGGCCAACAAGCCCATCAATTCTTTCGCATCAAGATTATTGCAGCAATTGCCAGCGCTAGCAGATCGCGGCACAATGCTAGCAGGATTGCCTGTGATCATGGATGCTATGTCGAAGCATTGAAATGTATCGCCGAAGTGACCTCAGAAGTCTCGGCCGATTCCCTTCGTGCATTGATGTTGTTGATCATATATTGTCTCTTTCGGCCTCGGAAGGGAGATATATGGAGACTCTTGGATTACGCATGCCGTCTGTGTCTGGAACTGGGTTATCATACGGAGTCCGGATCCGATGTCTCCGTGGTGAACCGTGAACAGCAGAAGAATATTTTTTGGAGCTTATACACTCTCGAGAAGATAGTGAGCCAACTCTTCGGCCGGCCGTCGGAATTTCCGGACGCAATAGTCACCGCCGAATGTCCCAATTCCAACATACTCGGCGTTGGCGAGGAGACTCCTGTGGGTGTTGAATCACATTTCGTCATTGAACATTATCGACTGGTCTCTCTTCGATCCAAGCTGTTCAATCAGCTCTATCTCTTTGATGGGGCTGCGAACCGCGATATGTCGTGGTATCAAACACGGCTTACCACCCTGGACACTTGGTATACCAAGACGAAGGAGGTCATCGCTCCCGCCGGTGTGGGTCAACTTACTTGTACGGTGGCTTTTCACGCAACGATCCTTTTCCTTTTCCAACCCTTGATGATGGAGGCCTTGAATTCGGTGCGTGACGGAAGCTTTCAACCAGGTCACATTGAATACATACCGTCTGAAATCTTCTTGTCAGCTGGAAGGCTAATTGAGGTCTACGAAGAAATTCTACGTGCACCGCGAGACAGTGTGCTCGGAACTTATCCAATGACTTTTATGTCGGCACATTACATATTCCTCGCGAGTATGACGATCACGGCATACTTTCTCTTTTACTTAGATGGGCGGATTCCTTTCCAGACGATGATAGTCAACCCCGATTATCTCCAAGAAACAGCCAGGATCAATCTTGAGAGTTTATGTCAGATATCGAACTCATGTTTGATACTGCTCACCTTCTGCGCAGAAAAGTGGCCAGGATTGGTGGGGATGAGGGATATCTACCGGCAGCTTTCAGACCAGATATTAAAACACGTTCTGGTGAAGTACTACGCACAGAACTGCCAGTAACATAGCGAAGATAGAATATAGAGAGATATATGATCCGATCTTACTAGGTCGTATAGATGGAGATTGGAGAAGGAGGTCGCATTAGAGCTTATTGTAAGATCAACACGTCTCTAAGTTCTATCAACGCTGCCCCCCTTGTCGTACCGGGATTCCCTGCCCCACCATCTTTTGATCGACCGATGTGACAGGTTGGGCTTGTCGAGGACCCTGTTTCGAGGGTGCGCGCACCTCCGAGCATATCTGAGGGTCTGCTCCAGTCAGAGTGGGATATCTTCCGTGATGCACGGAGTGGGATCGCAACTCGGGGTCTAGATTGGGGATCGGACTACTCGAATGATTGTGGGGAATCAAAGCCATGTTTTGACCTGGAGGTCAATATATCCATGATAGTCTCTTGGGGTAGAGATTTCATGATTCCTTTCTCCGACTTCTTTCCCAGACAGTCAACTGTTTGCCTTGGAACTCCACGCTGTACGATCACAAGACCCCGGAACAATGGGCAAAGTCGTGGCCGCTGTTGGGCTCTCCCATGCTCCGGGAGCTTTGGCATTTCCTGAAACTGCCGATCCCAAAGTCCGTGAGCGTACAGAGAATGCAACGAGATCACTGGGCATCTCGATCGAGTCATCTCGACCAGATGTGATCATTGCATTCCTCGATGATCATTTCGAGAATTTTTTCCGCAACCTGTGTCCCCCAGTGACAATGGGTATTGCAGATCAACATGTTGGCCCTGCCGACCAGTGGATGGAAACTCTGCGGATAGATAAAACGACTGTCTTTCCAGGCGCTCCTGCTCTAGCCGAGAAACTCCTGGCCAGTCTTACCAGTCAAGGATACGATATCGCACGTGCCGGGCCATGCGAGTATGGCAACAACTTACTCATGCCATGGAAATTGATGGGGGTCGAAGAGTCGCTGGCCAATGTTCCCATAATTCCCATTTTCATCAACGTCTTCACCCCTCCCCTGATCTCTTACAGGAGGGCATACAACCTGGGAGAAGCCGTCCGTCACGGTGTTGAAACTGCTTTTTCCGAGGACACGAGAGTCGCCTTCATCTCCACTGGAGGCCTCTCCCACTGGCCCCCATACTGGAGCCCCATTCAGGGCGGTGATCCACCCACAGACCCGTTCCTTCAGCGTATCAAGCGCTATCAAACCGAAGGCAAGGAGTACTTGAAGCAGGATCCCCGTCTCTTTGTCGACTTTGACAACTACGAGATTGAAATGGCCAAGAAGAACGAATATCCTCTCAATTCCAAACATCCTCTTGTGAACTGGGACTGGGACCGACATTTCATGGAGAAATACTCCGAAGGTGACACGGAATACATGAAGAACCTGACATACGAGGAAGTTGAGGAGCAGGCTGGCCATGGAGGCCACGAAGTGCTCAACTGGGTTGCAATGTTGGGAGCTATGAAAGGCGCCAAGAGCAAGATGTTACTTTACGAGCCTGTCGTTGAATGGATCTGCGGCATGGTTTATCAGGATTTCTGTATCACTGAGAAACTCAACTAGTAAATGAATTATGTAAAGAAGAACTACCAGCCTAGGAAAGTTGAACTCGTAAAAATATGAGGAGAATTGGGGACAGATACTGGGCAATGGACAATATACTAACGGTTTAGGAATATGAATATTGGAATATTTGACTACTGGTATCATATTGCCGCTTCGTCCTTGACTAGATTGTTTTGCAGGCCCTTCATTTGGCCCTGGGTTTATCTCGACACCATGTCATTGCAGTCACAAAGGCTCCAAGCCCTTTCCCAGGAAGGTCCTTTCACCAAATTCCTCCCACTCCGCCACCTGGAATTTGGGCAATCCCATAACTGAGCGGAGGCTCGTCAGCACACATTGCCTTACCTTGGGATAGGGGCGAGATAAGAGACTCACAGTATCCGGCCCTGCTATGTCCCAGTGCTTCCCATGTCGACTGAGCCTCAGCTGGTCCTATTTCGACCAATGGAACTCCACTCCCGGCAGAGGATGCATCGGCTATCAACTGATTATGACACACCTTCTCAAATAGGATAAACCAAGCCACGACTTCTTCGATGGTTGCACCAGCTGTCAGAAGGCCATGGTTGGCAAGAATGAGGGCTTTCTTCTTCCCTAAGCAGGCTGCGATATGTCTGCCTTCCTCGGCGTCGAGGACAACACCTGCAAAATTGCTGAGGTCGGGGTTAGAACAATATTTCATGAGGCATGAGCATGGGTGAAGCTATAAAATGCGTGGGGATCGATACCGGTAGACTGCATGATCCTTGTAGAAAACGCAAGCATCTTGTGAGAGCATTTGTAATTCACGGCCTAGTGGGATTTGACAGTCAGATGTCTTTTCCGTTCAACACAGTGATGAAATCGTCAAAAATGAAGAATTGGCTCACCAGTTGCACAAAAAGCTCGGCCCCACAGACTATGTGAATGGGCAGCACACATAATCTTTGGATTCGCATGATGTATCTCGGAATGGATTGCAAATGCAGCTGCGGAGTGCCGGTAAGCTCGGGGGAGACGACAATGAAGATTCATGGCGAATACCTACCGTAGTTCAAGAGTCTGTTTCGTCCACCATCAATGACTTTACCATTGGAGTCCACCAAGATTAAGTCATCCTCTGTGATCAAAGAGAAGTCCATTCCAAAGGGATTCACCCAAAATGTGTTCGGGTCAATGGGATCTCGCAATGTGATGTGTCCAGCCACGCCCTCCCCAAAACCATGTTTTCCAAAAATTCTGAATGCCAATGCAAGACGGTGTTTGAGAAATTGCCTCTCCTTGTATTTGTCCGTGAAGACCGGCGGCAAAGTTTGGTCGTCATCTGGGAATGCCAACCCAGGATCGCCGCTAGGATTCAAAGAAGTGTTTTTTCGTCCGTTTCCTTCGCCATCCTTGGGAGCGGTGGAGATCGTGAAGGACTCCGTTCTTGTCGATGTCGTAGTTGTTGCCATTTTTGCTTGAGGTGTTGTACAAAAGGAGTTTCGCCGGCTACACCCTGTGGAAAATTGATTGCGATCAGGTAGTCCAGCGGCATTGGGACTCTGATATGAAAGAACTGTGGCAGTGGTCTCTCAATGAAACCAGAGGGGTTCCTTCATCAATTTTCAGAGAAATAAAAGTGTTCCATCCGGCGTGTCTGTCCCCTTGGAGTGGGTCTATCGAGCTGCGCACTGCTCCGAAAGTGCTTTTTCACCAATTAATATCAGAATCTCGGATATCTGCTGAAACCTATCTGGGACAAGGATCAAATCGATTTGACTTAAAACAATCATTGTCGCCTTCCTTCAAGCCCGTGTTAGCCAGTCCGTGGCTGGAAAGTCGGCGGACTCGGCCAAACGGATGATCCCGTGTCAAAAGTTTCTAAATTGTGGCTTTGGAATCCTTCTTTTGTCCTGTTCCTTCATTTGAGAGACCATCGGGCAGGCTAGATGTGAGGGTCTTTGAAAGAACACCTCGAGACTCGTTGTATGTATTGCACGAGAGAACAAAGGATGCAAACATTCTCATAATCACGACTTTTCCAATTACAATCGATTACTCTCTCCCGCAATGTCACCCCCAAATTGCAGGCGATCACGATCATGTCCGTTGGGACGGACTGTGTCGACTTGGAGGTCTGCCAAAAACGCAACATCCGGGTGCTGAACTGTGCCAATTCCAATTCTGTTTCAGTGGCGGAGCATGCCGTCGGATTATACTTTGCTGTCCGAAGAAAGATCGTTGAACTTCACCAGCGAACCATAAGGAATGAATGGCTTTCAAAGGGCACGCTGCTGGAAAGTCTACGAAATGAGAGTGGCCGAGGACCATCATCTCTGAAAGATGAGAAGGTCAGAATCATTGGCTATCCAGGGTCTTGCCTACGATATTGAATGCAGCAATGCCTGTCGGAGCCGCCCGAAAGACAGGGTTGCCCTTTCCGGCGGCTGTCGCGATCTCCTGTATCCTGGCGCATGCTTTGAGTAGGGTAAACGTCATTCCGGTCCCCGGCCTCCCCATCCACGTTCAGAAGAAGTTGTGATGGCGCGGAGAGTCTCGTGAGGCTGATCTCATTCGTGTAGTGGGTGACGATCGTGTCATAGAGCTTTTTCTGCTCCTGATTCAATGGTTCGGGCGAGGAATTCACATCCACCACCAACTCAATCGGATTTTCGGCCTTGATTTGCTCCCAGACATCTGGACGTAGATCACCATACCGCCCGATATGCGTCGACCAGTCATACGCACGGTCGATTTCCCGGCTCCCTAAACCGTCCAGTAAGTCCCCATGGGTGGGCAAATCTGCCCCTGGCCGCCGGCGCGCCAAAACCTCGAAGTCAGGGGATGTTCATTTTCGGCCTCCTCCGGGGGATCTTTATCGTCCGAACTCGAGTCCGAATCCGAGCCTTCTCCTTCCGGGTCGTTCGTAGAAGTCTAGCGGGTGTGTATGTAAACGTCGACAGGCCCGAAATGCGTCGATATATGATCCGTAGCTCTCGTTCTCGACGGAGAGGAGATCGGACCAGTCCGTAAATGGATGATGGAGCATCAATTTGACGCGGCAATAGTCCGAATAACTCAGAGATTTCGGATCGTTCGGATGCCTGGGGTGGTAGTTGATGACCCGTGAACCCGCCCGCGGCCGGATCTTCCACGTCAGCCAATCCCAAAACTGGAGGCAGCTCAAAAGACTGAGGCCCGGAGGGGCGGCGTTCCCGTTTCTCGTATCGGTCAGACGATCTCGATGCCTTCGTAAGAACCGATCGCCTGGCCGAAATGTCCCCCGACTCCAAGACAATCAGGTCATCTTCGGGCCGGCAATCGAGGTTGACGACTTCCCGCGACGAATGCTGAACCGGAATCTGCAGAAGGAGATGGGAGACCTCCTGTGCTGACCAATCCCGTTCTCCAATAAGTCTATTGAGCATCTTCGAGACGAACGACAAAGGGGGCGCGGTCGTTCACGTATGGGAGGATTTGCGACTGGAGCTCGGTATACGACAGAGATAACTTTTCCGGCTTGGATACGTACTTACCTATATAAGACAGGACGGCAGGCAAGCTGGTCGGCGGTTGGATGTCCGTATTCGCCATCCACCCCATCGTGACGATCGGTGAACACTGGTCCAGATTCGCCTAGTTTTGGGCTGAAGAAAATAACCACCCTTTGTGGTTAGTCTCCTGCGTCACCACCGGGACGAGGAAAAGCGGCCGTGGAAAGAAAAACTGGCAGGACGACGGGACTTCCGATCCTCGTTTCGGCCGTAAACAGTAAGGCGCTCTACACGCCGAGTGCACCTGAAGTCGGTTGAGGAATGCAGCAAATTGATCGGCCGTATTAGCGACATCCGAACGGGCCAGGGACGCCGGGTTTCGTGCATCAGGGAGCCGGAGCTGGTCCGGATTCCAGGCCGTGATACGGACACCCCAGTACTGGGCAAATCGGGCTCGGGCGTCGGGCGTTGCGACATCGAGGGGAGGTGCCGATGGGATCCAAAAGAGCCAGTGTAAGTGGCCGGAGCCTCGAGCCTGCCACTCAAACCGGGACCACTCGTCCGTATAGCCAAAGAAGGGCCGCAAAACGCGCTCTTTGAAGACCCGAAAGCGGATATCCAAGTAGGAGGCGATGATGTGTGGGTGGCTTTGAACCATCTCCCAAATGAATTGGCGCCGAAGACGATCATCCCTCCTCGCCGCGGCCGAAAATCCGGGGAAGTGTCGATGCAAGTCCTCCCATTGCATATCGGCGGCACTAAAGGTGAGAAACACCGATGACGGTTCGGGCGAGAGAAAGCGGGCTTGCGCCTGCAGCCCAGTCCTCTTATTTCTCCAGAACGGGCGAGTTCCATTCAACGCCGAACCCTGACGAACAATCTGAGGGAGGAGAGACTCATCCGTCAGCAAGGCCTCCGTTAACGCTTCACGGGTGAGATCCTTTAACCCCGACGCCTTCGACACATAAAAACGGGCCGAATTGCTCGCCCTTCGGCGCATCAGGAGGTTAAAGATCAAAAACCGCCGGCGGGGATGTCGGCCGAATCTCCCATCGTGATAACACATCAGATGTCGAGCGTAATCGTTCAAATCAACCTTTCGCTGTCGGGCGGCGTTAAAAATCGCCCCGACCTGTAGGGTAGAGAGGGGGAAAGGCCATGGCAAAGATCCGCTCTCTCCCAGCCTCCTCATCGAAGGGAACGATGAGGAAATATCATCATCAACCGGTAATCTTTCGAGTCGGTCAAGGGAAATGGTGATGTATCGATAATCGGGGTGGTTGGCCTTTAGATAACGAAGGCAAGTGACCACATGGCTTTTCCGGACCTGGAAATCAGCTCGAAACTGGGAATAATATCTGGGGTTATTCTCCATTACTTGATTCGACGGACGAACAACGACAATCTCTAGCTCGGAGGGTAAATTTATGTAAGTTAACATTATTTTTGTCTCAGATGAATCAGACTGCGGTTGACAAGCGCGAGCGCTGATTGGTCTGTTTAAGCGCTGGAGCGCGAACTAATCAAAAAGTTTTTTAAATTTTTTGCCAAACGAGTCTGAGCACCGATAACTTACGTGAAAGTGACCTTGCATCGCGTTCGTCGCGTAATATTTAAATTACCACCACCAAAATGTACGTATTGGGCTGTTATTCGGTTTCGCAGATCCTCTCCATGAACCACGTCGAGTGAGAGGCCGCGCCCCCTGGAAAATGTTTAATCCGTTCGGAGTTAGGTGGGCGACGGGGGATTTCATCGGATCCAATTCATGGATCATGTCGAGTTGAGAGGGCACCCCCCGGAAGGGCAATGTGGTCCCATAGATTGGATCCGATGGCGAAGGTCCCGGAAAATATTTAATCCGCTGATGGTGATTCGGAAAATGGTTAATCCGTGGGACTTTCATCGGATCCAATCCATGGGCCATGTCGAGGGAGCACGTGATCCCGGAAAAAGGTTAATCCGTCAATGGTTGGGCGGTGTATAGACTGGATCCGATGGGTGCGATGCGGGTGATTTCATCGGATCCAATCCATGAACCACGTCGAGTGGAAGGGGCCCCCGGGGGTTCACATGGTCTACGGATTGGATCCGATGTTTGTGGAACGGAAAATAGTCGTGAAGGGCGGTCCACAGACTGGATCCGATGCGTGGATCGTCTCGATATCGAGGATATCGACATCATGGATGACGGAGCGGGAAGGAGGAGTGCACACGTGCCTACGTGACACTGCCAAGCTATAGGTTTACGTGATTGGGCCAGCACGTCACTCTTGGCGTCGCTACACAACGCCAAGCCCTAACCAGACAAATTCCAAAATTGAAAAAATTTAAAAAAAAAAAAAAAAATTTCAGGTTTATATTTTATTCCGCCAGAAACTGCTTCAAAATTGACACCAAATCGTGGTTGACCTATCAAGGACGTAACCGAGTGCTAAAACACTAGGGTTGCAGTCGAACCGATAGAATTGAGGGGCCTCACTAGTGTTCGATCATAGGTGAAGGTAAGAGGGTTGTCCGGCCTAGACTCCATTGAGCTTTCTAGGTGCCCTAGATGGGTAAACGTAATGCTCCAGCCAGTAATTGTTGATGTCATACTGGGTAATCTGAAGGGGGGGTTCACTGATTTAAACTCTCCTTCAGTTGAACTGAAACTTTCGCTGGTTGTGGCGCTCCATCTATGAGTTCGTCAGAGATGGACTATAAGGAGGGGGGTCTTTTTTTTTTAAGTACTTTCGCCTTAAGTCAAAGGTATGGGTAGGAATGATAACGAAGTTGACTACGATGGATTCCAAGAAGGAATCCATCCTGACTATATAGTAACGAATGCTCCCCTTTGATCAGCGTGATCAGCGATGCTCTGTCTGATCACCCCTGATCACCCGGATCACGTGATACATAGCCTTGCCAACGAGGCTGTCTTCGCGTGACCTTCCTTATAGGGTAGTTTTCTGCGACGTGGCCCGAGGCCCGCACAAGAGGCCAAGTCGTACAATCTATTGCATGTATTGGGAGAGTTTTTAGTTCTCTTGGCAATCAGAGAGAGGTAAGTTAGCAGCCAGCTCACGTGGGCACTCCCCCGGCCGACGCCTGTCATACATGAGCCTAGGCAGATACCGAAACACGGCGCAGACAAGCTACTAGGCCCAAAGCCTGCGGCCTTTGATCGCGTGGGAACAGACACATTATCGGATCGTATTTCTAGAGAATCAAAACCCCTTTGGAAGCTCGCCTGAGATTGAAGGATGGGAGTTGGGCAGTTGGGCGGAGGAAATGAAGGTTTTGTAAACAGGCAATTGCCTGCAAGACATGGCCTGAACGATGTTTTGGATCCCACCCTGCATGGTCGTCCACCAATACGAGCTGAGTCGCCTCTCGAGCGCGACTTAAGGCGAATTGATCGGTTTTTGTCACAAATGATTTAACAATACCGCCCGTCTTCACTGTCTATGTCGTCCTCAAAACTTCCTTCTCTTCATTCCTCCCTCTTCATGTCCGAGAGACGCCTTCAGCGCTCACTTTAGTGGTAGTCATTCTGATTTCAATATGACTACTCAAAGAGTCGTACCTCATCCCTCGGAAAAGACTTGGGAAAGGCACAAGGCTACGATTAGAAAGCTTTACCTGGAAGAAAACAAAACGTTAGATGAGGTTATGAGGGCCATGAATGCTAGTCATGGCTTTGTATCGACGTATGAACCATCCTCTGCAGTCAATTATTTTCACTGACACCTTTCTAGCAAGTCAAACTACGAAAGGAGAATAAGACGATGGAAATTTCGCAAGAATCATGCCGCAGTGCAGTGGAAAGCTGTTGTGCGGAGAGTCCAATCGAGGCAACGGTCTGGAAAAGAGAGCAACGTGTATATCGACAGTCGATTTGTCCCACCTAAGAAACTACGACGGAAGGTCTCTCTTTATTGCTCTAGTCTTCGATTTGGAAACAAAATATCTGGTATAGACGAAATGCCGCCTTCTTTGTCGCTCGCTAATTATCCGCTGAATAGATACAGAAAATCCACGCGACCTTGATGGCGTCATTATCCAAACTCCACCGCCTGAAAGAGTAGTCTCAATCAGGACAGACAACCTCCCATTCGTCCAGTATGATGCTGCTTTCTGCACGAGAGGTATGTCACCGCGGCTCAAATGCTATGTGTTTCAGCGGTACAATGCGGATGTCCCATTCCACACTCACCTTCTGCTTTTTGCCCTTGCGTTACACACATCACTTACCTTAATGCTAGGAGAGGTTCGCGATGGTCAGCATCACTCGAATGACATCGAGTTCCAGCCTAGAGAACTTCAAATCTACAAGGAACAAGACTCGGCTTACCAGCCTGGATTTGTTGCAAGCTGCGTCCCACCACGAATTATCGATTCGCTCAACCATCAGCAGCTTGCTGCATGCCATTTTCAGAGGGTTATTCCCAAGCTCAAGTCCTTGCTGCCATCTAGCGCAACCAGAGAATACTCCGCGGACTCTTCGATCAGCGTCGATTTCTTGTGTTCAACATACACGAGACTTCTCCTTTTCTCAACATTAAATAATTTTGCCGGGCTTGATGACTTTCCGCTAGAGTGCCTCGTGTATTACTTGCAAGAGAAAGCAAACACGTTCCTGCCACGAATTCGACCATTCTCATGGCTCATGGTCAAAGCCTTGACAGGAAACTTCTTTCAAGCGGCTGCAAGTGCAGGCAATGATCACGTTGTCGAAGTTCTGTTACAAGACTGGGCTACTAGTATTGGAGCTAACAAGCAAGTCTTTGTCGATGGCGACAAACGATACACAGCACTACAGCGGTCCTGCCTGCTTCATCACGTTGCCGTCACTAGAGTCCTCCTTCGACACGGTGCAGACGTCAACCGGATGATCCAGAGTTATGGACAGTCAGACTGGAGCGCTCTAGAGCTTGCAATTGGCTGTCACAGGGACGAACGTGACAAACCGCCGCCTGTACCACCAGAGCTTGTGCTACTGCTAGTTGAAAACGGCGCTAATTTTGGTTACCAGCTACTTCGCCATGTAATCATGCGTGGACAGCTCCAAGTACTGGAAATTCTCTTACACAAACTTGTTCAAGTGAATCCGGTTGACCTGCTTACGTTTGGGTTCTTCCACAAAGCGCTTGACAATGTCGATAGCGAAATGGCTATGCGAATCATCAACCTCACCTTGCAATCCAACGTTAACCTCAATTACGGCTTCTCGATGATTGAGTGTTGCAAGGAAAAAAGACATCTAATTGAAATAGCACAAAAGGGAAATGTCGATGCGGTCCAGAAACTCTTTGATGCAGGGGCCGTCATGACGAAAGACATACTTTCATACGCAATTCACAGTGGGGTAATGGTTCTTATTGATTCTCTTCTGGCTAAAGGAGCAAACATCGACAGTGTTGTCACTCTCGAGGTAGAAGGACGACGCACCATTTATTCAACACCACTTGCGGAGTCTATTCGTCTAGGTGTGCCCGAGCTCACTCAACTATTGCAGAGTAAGGGTGCCCTTGAGCGGATTACGGAAGAAAGAAGATTCAAGGCCGTGATTCAAGCTGCTTCAGAAGTCGGAAATGTCAACTTCATCCGACTCCTGACCGACATTGACCCAGATTTAAGGAGGTTCAAAGACGAGGAATTTTTGTGGCATGCTATCACAGGAGATCACGAAGAGGCTGCTGTCTTGTTAATCAATCACGGAGCACGTATACAAAGAGATGGTAGCTGGCCAACCAGATGCTCGCTTACAGAAGCAGTGAAACGAGGTCGTTCACTCCTAGTGAGGAAGATTCTCAATGCCGAGCCTGAGGGACGACCATGCCATCCGTGTGGTAGCTCGCCTCTTCAGATTGCGATCAAGTCCGGAAATATTTCTCTGATTCAAGATCTGATAGCTGCAGGAACCGATGTCTCCGCCCCTCACCTTCCAACTGAACTTCTTCACCAATCACCGCTGTCAGCCGCCGTGGAAATAAATGATATGGACTTGGTTGCGTTGCTGATCAAGAACGGGGCTCAAATAAACTTCACCGGCATCACGTTCCACGACGATGAGACAGTACTTGAAACGGCGGTTAGAACAGGAAGGACCAGCATGATTTACAAAATTTTGTCATACGATGCAGATCCTTGTGACTCAAGAGCGCTACTCGCTGCTGTTCAAAGCAACAAATCCGTCATGCTTCTACTACTCAAAGAATTCAGGAAAAGATATCCCCTTGGGAGACCTGGCTATGGAGTTCGCGTTCTTGGCAATGCCATCGAAGAAAATGATTTCGATTTGATCAAACTGCTCCTCGAGTACAACGTTGACGCCTCGGGATATATCAAGGGTTCGGAACTGAATAGTCTTGGAACCGTCTGGAAGACTCCGCTTGCGATTGCAATTGAAAGCAACGAGGGAACAAGACTTCAAGTAGTTGGTTTGCTTTTGGATGCAGGAGTGAACCCGGACAGTTTTGTTCGCTGGTACCTCGACTCTCGGAGGGAAACAGCACTTCTTGTTGCAATCAAGCTGAAAAGTATTCAGATGGTGAAGTTTCTCCTAGATTCCGGAGCCAGTGTAAACTTCCCGCCGAACATGGGTGTGAAAAGAACCCCGTTGCAACAAGCTGCAGAGGTTGGCGACATGGCTATGATTCAGATCCTTATAAGCCACGGTGCTCAAGTCAACGATGCACCTGCCTACATTGGAGGCGCGACCGCATTACAGCTGGCAGCGATCGGGGGCTATGTTGGCATCGCTGAATTTCTCCTACAAGCTGGAGCAGACCTATATGCATCGGGTGCCACCGTCTACGGACAGACCGCTCTCGAGGGTGCCGCTAAACACGGCCGCCTCGACATGGTCAAATTCCTCATCAATGCAGGGGCTTTGAACGCCGGTGACAGGTATCGGTGCTCTGAAAAAGCCACGCGACTGGCTTTGAATCACGGACACTGCGCAGTCGTAGACTTGCTCAGGTCATCTTTACTGCCAGATGGAGATTACTATCCCCACGAATTGAGTCCAGGACCTGCAATTAGGAGAATCGCTCCCGGCGATTTTAGCGTCTCGGTGGCAAGCCATGATCTTTTTCATAGAATCAGAAAGGATGGGGAGGACGGCGACTTACCTTTAGACGTAGTGGTAAGAAGATTATGGGGATATCCGTAAAGATGAAGGTGATCTTAAGACACAGTGGCAGTCGAATAGGTATTTGGCCTCTCGTAGGAATGGTTCGATGGCATGTTGACCGGTGGCGGAGAATGTTGCTGCAGACTTGGAGTAAGGAGACGTTCTTGTCGGATAACGTGTCTTGCATCTTGGCGTCGTGCTCATGAAAGTGACGACCAACTTAGGTCAGATTGTCCGCCTCCCTGGGGATTCTTTGGTCACGGAACAAGGTACCCAGTCCTTGCCGTGTTATGCCGTATCCATATACCTTGGGCACTAATGATATGAAGCGGATCACGGTTGTTCGATGGCTGATGACGGTTCAGGGAGCTCAAACGAATCTGTACACTTGATAACTTTTTATGGGGTTCCATTGAAAGGACGGTTTCCTGTCGCGTTGTCCTTATTTTTGGCAATCGGCGCGACTCGCCGTCCTCATTCATTAGACGCTTAGAACGCTCTACAGGAGTGTGATATGTGGCGACGCCAAGGCTTGTAAAGACCTTCGGAAGCGTTGTACGCTTCGTACACGCTTCGAAAGTATATAGTCTGACGGTCCCCTGGACCCTTCGAAATAGGACAAGTCCTCCGTAAAATCACAGGAGAACAAGGTTATAGTCACGTGGCAAACCCCGTTGAACCCGTTGGCTCTGTTGGCCCTATTGGCCCTGGGAGCCTCCTAAGGGCAAGGGTAGGGAGCCTGATCTGGCTCCTTTCGCTTGACTACCTGAATACTCAGCGGCGAATCTTGACCTCTTCCAAATCCATATCCCCGTTTGGACGTGAGCACCTTGCCGTTTTTCCTGAGCCCTGACTAAGCACCTTTGAGCTGTGGCTGTGCAATCCCGACCGCCTCTTGGCGGGGTCCTGAAGTGTGTCTCACTCCTTCAACTCAAGTTGTACCACAAGTTCGACAGCACTCTGGGCAAAGCCCTGAGCCCACATGGGCCCACAATATGGGCCCCTAGGTCCCCAGTTTTAGGCGTTTCATATTCTCAGAAAGGCCCAGTTCTGTCCTTTCATTCAGTTATTGTTACTAGGAGTGATTTCGGTAACTCTCTGCTGCTGCTTGAAAGGGCTAGAGACAATCCTCCTTACCAAAGTGAGACTCTTGTCATATGACACATTCAGCGATAGTAGATTCCAACGGTCGTATTTTCGCCTTATAACTCTCAATTCCAAGACTATAGAGATGTAGAGGAGCTTCTGGTGCAAAGTCTTCTTGCAGGTGAAATTGAAACAAACTTTTGTAGGCTGGCGCGTAGTTAGTGTAGGCGGCTTATTGCACAACGTGACCCGGTAGATTAGCCGATGAATCATTTAGTGCTGATATGAATAATTCCTCCTCGGCTTAGATCACTTGCCGGACTGAGCAGCGACCGAACAGGAATAAATATTTCTCCGCATGCCCTACGGGCTGCAGTGCCCCTTCCGCTTGGGAAGCATACTACCGTAACCACTTTCCCTGGCGATGCTTTGTTGAGAGTGCTATTCTAAGTCGTGGCATTTCATCTATGTTAAGCCTGCTGACTAGAGCCTAATTGCCTTGATACATTGTAGTGGGGCGTGCGTAAGGCCGCTTTACACTCACCCCGCGTCCCTGGGTGGGTATAGTTTGGCCTTGGCTGAAGGCCTGATGGTAAGGGGAAAGCTGACGGCTGTCTACAAATAAGTAGATGCCGTCCGCTCAACGCCTTAAGGGCAATCTAAGGTAGCACACCCTCTCCAGACCCAAGGGTGCCCTGCCTCTTCGAAAATCCCTGCGAATGGTCCACCTGAAAGAGTGACTAACCACCGTCCCACTTCGACGAACGACATAGCGGCATCACTATCACCATCATAATTACCTCCTCTACCATGAGTGATGTCGCTGCGTCCATCCCTGACTGGCCATACATCTGGGCGTCCTTCTATTCGGCTATGCTCCTCATTATCTCCATAAGCACGTTCACGCCAGCAGTGTATAGCGTGTGCGAACAGGCCGGCTTCCCACAACCGCGCAACCAGCCGCTGCATGTTCACGTCTACTTGTTCGCGGGGTGCCAATTCATGCTTGGGCTGTCAGTGGCTGTGCTAGAGGCCGCGGGCGAGTGGAGGGCGGTCAGTGTGATCATAGCCTGCGCGACTCCAATGGGACTATTGGGCACGTCACTTGCGGCAACCAAGGGGGGGATGGGATACGGGAAGGCATTTTGGTCCCATGCTCTGCTTACGACGATGGGAACGTTGGCAGGTTGGAGACTGCTGCAGGACAATTGGTGAGCAAGAATTGTACGCGCTACCTATACGCCTTCTTTTGATATCTGAATATTGTTCGGGGCCTTGGCACCTTGGCTTTGATATGTATTATCACGCAAAAGGCAACAATGACAAACAGTCAAGTTGTGGAATCTCCGAAGTATATGTTGTTGTCTATCTAGTTATGCTGGTAAGAAAAGGGGCCCCAGTTTCGGACCCTAGGTGCCCAAGTCTGTTCCATCCCAGATGGCCGTGTAATATTTCCATTTTCTTGAAGAGACCCCTAGAAGGCATGGAGCGAGTATCCAATAACAATGGGGGTCCAGAAATGGGACTGAGCATAGGTGATGAGGAGCTGTCTGATCGGTCTGAGCTGTAGGCACCGAGGCTGAGCCGAAGTTGATCCAAGTCACGTGCAACCCGAGCATAGCGGCTCGACCAAAAGCCGAGTGTTTTACCACTTGGTTAACGTCCTTGATAGGTTAACCACGATTTGAAAAAATATAAACCTCGAACTTTTTAATTGAAAGCGTAAGCTTTCTTTTAAATCCCGACCCCCCCGCACGTGACCTGGCCATGCGCGGAAAAAAACCCACGTGATCCAAAAAAAAACAGTAACGTGACGTCGCGACCCCCCCGGTCCAGTTTCCGGGCGCGTGTCGAACGCGTGCCTGTACAAACCTCTTTCACCTCAACCTTACATCTAGACAGAACAGCGAACTAATGACTTCCAAATTCTGCTCGGCGTGCCTTCAAAAACTCCTCCTCTCTTCTTTTCTAGCAGATCCCTCTGATCCAAGTAGCAAGATTCGTGCCACCTGTATTCATTGCCGGAATCGAAGTGCTCGACTGCGTGAGAAGAAGAGGAAAGCTCTCTCGTCACTCGATCTTAACGTGCCTTCGAAAAGACCGGCGATTAGTCGTACGCTCGAGGCTCCTTCGATCCCTCTTCCTCATGGACGACCCGAAACCCGCTCGGATACCTCTACACGCTCTCTCCCTCCACTCGAATCACAGCCGCAACCTCCAGACGCTCTTTCGATCCCTCTCTCTCATGAACGATTCGAAATCCCCCCGGAAGCCGAATCACGACCGCAACCTCCGCTCCCACCACCGACGGACTTCCTTCCGGCAGACCAATGGAGGTTTATCCAGGAATTTTACAACGCCTTAGATGAGGTCAAAATGGAGTTCTGTCTTCGGTGTCGAGAACGGTGGTTTACGATGAATTTAAAGAACGAGATCTGCCACACCTGTTTCTTGAGAGATAAGAGTTCCCATTCTCCTTTTCTGATGTCGACGGATAACGAAATGGATCCAGGCGAGATTCCAGCCCGTTTACCGACCTTGACCCAAGTGGAAGAGATGATTATTGCCCGTTCTCATGTGCAGATGTTGGTACATCGATATCGAGGCCACCAGTATCACTACTCCGGGCACTGTGTGAGTTTCATGCAAAACAATGTGAAAACGGTGAATATGTTACCCAATTTACCCTCCGAGCTGGATATTGTCGTTGTTCGCCCGTCGAATCAAGTAATGGAGAATAACCCCAGATATCATTCCCAGTTTCGTGCTGATTTCCGGGTCCGGAAAAGCCATGTGGTAACTTGGCTTCGTTATTTAAAGGCCAACCACCCCGATTACCGATACATCACCATTTCCCTGGACCGACTCGAAAGACTGCCGGTTGATGATGATATTTCCTCATCGTTCCCCTCGATCGTCGACGAGTCAATCATCGCGGAGGAGGACCCTGTTCCAGACACGTCCACGGGCCCAAACCCGCCAGTCCCGGCCGATTTCCCCCCTACGAATTCGCAATCGATGGTCCCTAATCTCCATGATGATACGACAGAAGTCGACCGGCTTCTGGCCGAGATTTCTGGGCGTGCTTTGATGCCTCCTGGCGTGCCAGCGCCATCCATTCGATCGACCCCCCTCGATGAGGCAGCTGGGAGAGAGCGGATCTTTGCCATGGCCTTCCCCACTCTCTACCCTACGGGTCGAGCCGATTTTAACGCCGCCCGACAGCGAAAGGTTGATTTAAAAGATTACGCTCGACATCTGATGTGTTATCACGATGGGAGATTCGGTCGACATCCCCGCTGGCGGTTTTTGATCTTTAACCTCCTGATGCGTCGAAGGGCGAGCAATTCGGCCCGTTTTTATGTGTCGAAGGCGTCGGGGTTAAAGGATCT